TGGGTCTGGTGGTGTAGTGCCTAAGGCATCTGACTGCTAACCAGAAGGGTGGCAGTTCAAAGTCACCAGCCACTCCTTGGAAGGAAGATTGGGCAATTTACTTCCGCAGTGATACCGTGTCAGAAACCCAAGGAGGGGTTGCTGTGTTATGCTGGGTTCTCTAGAGAAGCAAAACCAGTAATCCTTTCATATGGGAGGGATTCAACAGAATTTACAGATTCCATATCCTGATCTTCCTGACTATCTGCCCGTATGTCCCTATTCCAGGTTTCAGGATCCAATTTTTTTCCGTGGGAGAAAAGACCTGACAATCACCTCCCGTAAAGATTTCAGCCTTGGAAACCATATGAGGCAGTTTTATTCTGTCAGAGGGTGACTGTGGGTTGGAATTGACTTGCTGGCATACGATAACCATTAAACAATACAACCCATTTCTTGAAGTAATTTTCAAATGAAGAACTGGAACACTTTGAGTGCCTTTTCTGAGGTTCTAAGGCCTCATGTGTAGCCACTACAGGTCTTTCAGTTGGAGGCTTGCGTGTTGCTATGATGCCGAATAGGTTTTACCACAGCTTCCAGACTAAGATGGACTTGGAATAAAGGCCTGGAGATCTACTTCTGAAAATCAGCCAATGAAAACCCTATGAATTACATCGATCATGGGGCTAGTGCAGGACCTGCCAACGTTAGAGTCGCCATGAGTTGGGTTGAACTCCAAAGCAGCTAACAAAAACAAGATCAAAAGGGCGAGTTTCAGAAGGGTATTTGCTAGTTACAGATAGACCTTCATATTAAAAAAGTGAACTTAACATTTCCACTTACTTTTTCCCTATATGCCCTTCTCTCATTGCAATACCAATGTGGAAATTAAATTTCCCAGTTTTTAACAGCAATTACCAAGGACAATATCCACTAGGATACTTTTTATATTCTGGGTGTAGATATAACATAGGCCATGGAAGAAATAATAGAGAACAAAAATAATCTTTAAGAACTAATCTTTCCTTTAAAATGTGAAAGACATTTTTACAAACTCAATGCAAGTATCATGTTCTGTAAAACTTAATTCTTGGAAGAATTCAAAGATAAGGAACTTTTAGGACTTTATGAGAACTGAGTTGGAAAAACCAAAACTACAATATTGAACTATTAGTTTTCAGGACCAAAAAAATAAATAAATGAAGTTTTATATATATTTATTTTTCCTCTCCCGTATACATTCTCCTTCACAGCCCCGTGGTAACACTTGACAAACTGATCATCCCTCAGTGGTTACCTTCATGATAAAGGAGTAAAGCTTTTAAACATACTTCCCCCAAATTTCTAATTCTTTATTTAAAACTGTGTATCCTGAGTGGTGTATAATACTGATACAGGGCAATGCTGAGAATCAAAAGTCAGTATTAAAACAGAAGGTAACAAGAGATAAATGATAGTGGTTGATGGTACACAGAGGTAGGAAGGGGCCATGAGGGCCTTCTTGGTTTTTGTAATCTTAGTCAGCAGCTGCTGTAACATTATGCCACTTTGGATCCAGGAGAGATTATGATTTCAAGTACTTTTGATCTAAAATCCTGTTTCAAAATAGGTAAATAGTGGTGACATGATGAAAATATTTAAAGTCACTGAACGGTACATAAGGAGTTCTGCTGGTGCTGTGGTTAAGGCATTGTTGTTGTTGTCATGTGCCATCGGGTTGGCCCCAACTCGTAGCAACCCCTCCTTGGGTTGCCGAGGCAGTATCACTATAGAAGTAGATTGCCCAACCTTCCTTCTGAGGAGTGGCTGGTGGATTTGAACCACCAGCCTTCTGGTTAGCAGTCAAGTGCCTTAGGCACTATGCTACCAGAGCTCCTGGTCAAGGCATTAGGGCTAATCAAAAGGTCGGTGGTTTGAACCCACCAGCCACTCTGTGGGAGAAAGATGAGGCAGTTTGCTTCCAAAAAGATTTTTAGCTTTGGGAACCTGATGGGGCAGTTCTACTCAGTCCTAATGGGTCATTTTGAGTCCAAATCTACTTGATGGCAGTGGGTCATGGGACAGTACATGCAAAAACTGTTGAAACAGCAAATGTTTTGTTACCTCTATATCTACCATATTAATAATTTTTAAGAATGCAAATAAGTAAGTTCAGAGTAGAATCTAGAATAAGGATGGCTGAGAAGGAATTACTCTATTGCCCATTCTAAATAAGATCAAGGAAAAGCACAGATCTGTTTATTCTGTACATATTTCCAGTAGCAGTTACACAAATCACATTCTTATCAATGTTAATAATTTTAAAGCATATGTCAATGACTTATGTGTTCAAACTTATGTGTTCAAATACTTCATGTCTGACAATGGTGAGGTTAAATGAATGAGATCTTTTATGATGTAAATAGTTTTACAATTTGAAGGAACCTTAAAGATCTCTGTGCATTATTTTAATCTGTAGATTATATTCTATTATAAAAACCACACAAAAAACCCCGGTACCATTGAATCAATTCTGACTCATGGAAACACCTCAAGTGTCAGGGTAGAACTGTGCTTCATAGGATGTTATACATCCATAAACCAAAGTTCCCACTTATGGACTCTACAGGACAGAGTAGAAGTGCTGCATAATGGTTTCTAAGGTTGTTTATCTTTATTACCAAAGCAGATTACCACATCTTTCTCCCACAGAGCAGCTGGTGGGTTCAAACCTCTGACCTTTTGGTTAGCAGCAGAACACTTAACCACTGTGTTATCAAGGCTCCCTACGTCCCATTCCAAAAAAAACAAACCCACTGGTATGGAGTCACTTCTGACTCACAGCAACTCTAGGGTTTCTAAGGCTGTAAATCTTCACAGCAGACTCTCATCTTTCTACTTTGAACCGGCTGGTGGGGTCGGGTGGAACCGCTGACCTTTTATTAGCAGCCAAATGCTAACGACTACACCACCAGAGCTCCTTATATCCCATTAATGGGTCATAATATCAATTTAGCAAGTTAAATGTAGCAAGTACATGTCCTTATTGGGTGACATCAAGTCAATTCTGACTCATAGTGACCCTATATGGCATAGCAAAACTGCCCCGTAGGGTTTCCAAGGCCCTTATCCTTACTGAAACAAATCGCCACATCCTTCTTCAGTGGGGGTCAACCTTTCAAATCACCAACCTTTTGGTTAACAGCCAAGTGCTTAACCACTGTGCCACCTGAGCACCTTGTAAGCGTGCACAGCATGTATTATCCTATGAAACTTCTGTTTGTAGTTTTCTATATATTTACACATACACTCAGACCCCTCCAGCAGATGTGTGCATATCCTCTTCAGCGTTCCCATAAAAAGTTATGACAAACAAGTGACAGTGGTTGAGCATTAACTTTGGGTTAGGCACTGTTCCATGATATTATCATATGTATTAATTTTCATAATCCTTATAACAAGCCTATGAGATAGGTACTTATCATCATCTGTATCTTACAAGATAAGAAAACTGAGGTATGTAGAGGGTAATTAACTTGAATAGAATCACCTAACTATTAAGCAGCAGAGCTGGGATTTGGTCCAAGACAGTTTGACTCCAGAGTCATGCTCCTATGGCACTACCTGTGATCACAGCGAACTCATCTCCTCGTAAGAAAGCCTATTCCATTCTCCAAAGATTCTTGGAAGTTAGCAGAGCCAGTTCTAGAACACAGATCTCCCAATTTCAAATCCTGGGGACCACTTCCTGCTTCCAGTTTTGTTGCTGTTGTGGTTGTATGTATGTGTGTGTACGTGTGCACGTATATGTATACCTATGTATGCATAAGCACGGTCTCTGACATTCAGGCCAGGAATGGAATGAATATCTTCCATTATACCTCATGCAATATAAAACCTATTTTATGAAGCTGGAATCAAAACAAAGCTCAAAATAAATAAAAGATATATACAAGCAATCAGAAAGAGAATGTATTTATTTACATCACTTATTTCCTTTTTTTTTTTTTACAATCCCAGCACTTTAAATAATAAAAATTTCCAGGTGCTTTTAAATTATTAAGGTATTTTAACAAAGAAAAATTTCAAAATAAGATTTTTATTTACATGAATCAAGAATTTTAAATAGTTGTTTTTTTTTTTTAAACTGGACATCACAACTAAAGCCTCTTATTTTGAACTTGTATCTTTTTCAAAACTTTGAGTTTAGGAAATTATGCTCATCATCAGATCCTTGTGGTTCAGATCTTTTCAGATTAAGATTTAATTAACACACATGTGAATCTCCTCTATAATGATTTGCATTTAGCCTCTGAGCTGATGCTAAGCTGTGTTAAGATAACTTACTTAAACTGCTTTGCTTACAACTTTCTGGTAGTTTCCTGTACCTGTCATATAGCTGTTTATAAAGTGTTCTGTATGTATTCTGAGCGCACCTTGTATCTATGAGGACGATTTATTTCCAATTTAGCTCACTTTGCAAAGAGGCTCACGAGGACTCAGGACTGTATTGGAGCAAATTTGGTACATTTTCCTCTCCTTGCCCAGTCGTTTTTGGGATGCTTGACTTTTCTCCTTTGATACTGTGCATGCAAATCACTTACTTTTTAAAGAATTTCCTACTCATAAAATAAGATGTTCAATAATAACAATGGTCTGATATTCTTTCTTGTAGCACTGACAGATTTCAAGTATTTATTAGAAAATATAAGAGAGGATAGATTTTCTTAATATTTTAAGTATGAGTTCCTCTGAGTAGTTGGTATAATATTCATTAAAAAATAGAAAAGATTAACTTTTTACCATGATCAAAGTCATAGTTCACAATGAAAAACCTAGATAGCTCTGCTCAACTGTAGGAACAGCCGAGGCCAGTCTTGAACATTATGCAGCAGCAATTGAGTTCTCATCTACAAGCCGACCCTGTGGCTTTAAAGGGGAAAAACAAAATGGGTTACAAGGGGATAACAACAACAAAAGCCCTCTTTGTCAGAAGGATTTTGAAATTCCTAGAAGTGTTTCACATAAACAAAATAGGTGTGTGCAAGTACCAAAATACAAGCAATTCTTCCTTTTCTACCCCACACTCTTCCTTCACTTTCACCTGGGGATGGTGAAGCACAGCAGGGGCTATCACGCTTCCCTCTGAGGCCAGTGGCAGACTCTACCCACAGTCATGTCCCTCATGACTGAGTCTCTCCTTCTCTCTTAACCAAGTGTTCCAGCAACTACTACCAATCTCTCACAGGCTGCATGCAAAATGAAATCTAGTTACCACTAAATTTATTCTGTCTCTTGCTTAGTGCCCTACTATGTTAAGTTTTAAGTAGGCCAAAAAGCTGAGCTAACAATTTCCTTGTAAGGAATTCAAGGTCTCCTTTGAGAAAAAATGATTCCCAGTGGACTGTATATCTAACAGTGAATACTGCAGAAAAAAGCAGATAAAAACAAAAATAGCCCTTTCTCTAAGGTCACTGACTGAAAAAATGTAAAACATCACATCAGAAAAGTAAAAAAAAAAAAACAAACTCACCATCCTCGAGTCGATTCATAGCCAACCCTCCTTGGATTTCCAAGGCAGTATCTCTCGGCACATAATAACAACAACAACATCTCTACAGAAGCAGATTGCCCAGTCTTCCTTCTGAGGAGTGGCTGGTGGGTTTGAAGCCACCAGCCTTCTGGTTAGCAGTCAAATGCCTTAGGCACTACGCCACCTCATAAATAGCCTTTAGGTGCAAAATTTCTCTAACAGGCTAGCAACATTCCAGAGTTACCTAGTAACTAAAGAATGAAATACTTGAAAACAATTTTACTATACAGATGTACAATAGCAGAAGTTTGTGGGGAAAGAGATGATGATCAGGAAATGAGACAGAATAGTGTGACACAACTTGACAAAGTTCATTTGCTTTAAGCAGAGTAATTCCTGGGAGAATTCCCTGAGGTAGGGACGCTCCCCCTACTCAGTTCTGTTGCTGTTTGGGCATATGTCAGTGTGTGTACACATACATACATACATACATACATACATACATACACATATACAGGTATAGGTCTGACATTCAGGGAGGGAATGGAATGAAGAATAGGTTCCCAGTCTTTCTGTTTATACTTCATGTAATTTTCTTGTACTGAAAGAGGATATTCAGTTTTAGAATCAGTACAGGCACACCTTGGAGATACTGTGGGTTCTATCCAGGACCACTGCAATAAAGCAACTCACATAAACTTTTAGGTTTCCCAGTGCTTATAAAAGTTAGGTTTACATTATACTGTAGTCTGTTACATGTGCAACAGCATTATGAAAAAGTTTGAAATATTGTAAGAATTACCCAAATGTGACACCAAAACATGAGGTGAGCACATGCAGTTAGAAAAATGGTGCTCATGGACTAGCTCAATGCAGGCTTGCCACAAACCTTCAATTTGTAAAAACTTCAGTATTTGCAAAGTGCAATAATGTAAATTTGCAACAAAGCAAAGTATGCCTGTAATGGCTTGGGTCTACTGACCACTTCAAATATAGCTAGTGCAACTAATGAACTAATCTTTAAATTTTATTTAATTTAAATCTCAATAGCCATATGTGGCTGTGACTACCATAAGACAGCACAGCTCTAAAGTCTAATAAAAGTATGTTGTTGTTATGTGCCGTCGAACCAGACCCGACTTAGAGAGACCCCACTTTGGGTTTCTAAGGCAGTATCACTACGGAAGTAGATCGCCCAACCTTCCTTCTGAGTATGGTGAGATATAAAATTTTAGTCAGTGACTGTTCAATAAATGGGAAAGAGATAATTTTCATTTACCTTACTTAGTATAACAAAAAAATATGAGTTTTCCCAACTGATAAAAGAGATGGTTCTGAAGAGTCTAGTCAACAGACTTATCAACAGTTAAGTTACTGAAAGGTGGTGATTGCATTTAGAGAAAAGAATCACAGCAGTTAGAAAAGGCCATGTTTGTTAGGTTAAAATCAAACCAGTTGATTTGACTCATGGCGTCCCCTTAAGTGTCAGAGTAGAACAAGGATTCATAGGGTTTTTTTGTGTGTGATTTGGGTGAAAGTTTACAGAGCAAATTCACTTTCCATACAGTAGTTCACATATACTTTGTCTCATGACATTGATTACAATTTACCACGATGCAACAGCTCCCCTCTCACTTCTTCCCCATAGTTACCTCTTCCCTGTGTCCTTCCTCCATCACTACTGCCCCCTGAGCTGTCTCCCTGTGCATACAAATCCCTTCTATTCTCCCATGATTGTTCTCTCCAAGAGTTTATCTACCTAGTGTAAATGCTCACCTCATATGCTTATCTTTTGTTTGGCTGGAAGCCACAGGAGTGGGTTAATTCTAGACCTGAAGGGCAGCTAGGGGCCATAGTCTCAGTGGTTCCACTAGGCTCCATCAGACCAGCAAACCTGGTTCTTTTTTTTCCCCAAATGATTCTGAGTTTTGTTCCACATTGTTCTCCCACTCTGCAGTGAACTGCTTGATGTGGCCCTTCTAGCCATTGTCCTCCATTCTGTGATGTTTTGTAAATCCCATGATCCATGCCTGTTTGGGGTGCTGTGGTAGTTAAGGTCAGCTATCAACTTGGCTGGGCAGCTGGTAGTAGTCATTCCCTATAACTGGCAATCGACTCTGTGATGGGATTTAGGTTAATTCTGTTGGGGCAACACAGGTGGAATGTATCTTGAGTCCTGCCTTGCTGGAGGGTATAATTCAAATCACCACCCTTAGCTTCCCTGAGGGTATACCTACGAATCTCCTGGGAAGATTCGCTCTCCTTTTGCTCCGGCTTTGTGTCTTGGATCATCCTCATCTCACCCCTGGATTTGGGACAGCAGCCGTCATCTGATCTGTTGATTCAGGTTCATCAAACCCCAAGAGTTGGGAGGATCTGCCAGACCTACTCACGGACCCGGGACTCGCCAGCCTGCCAGCCTCTACCACTACTACGTGAGACAAACCCTTGGGTGTCTGTGAGTTCTGTGAGGCGTTACAGCGAAATACAGAACCCTAAGACTGGGGAAATTACTGGGAGGAAGAGGAGGAGTTAATGTCTGAAATGATGGAGTGGCATGATAGTTTGGACATTTGGGACATCTTTGACCTCTGCCTCATGGGGACCGGCCTCGTGCTGATCTTTCTAAGAGAAATTGTTCAAGCACACTCTTTCTGGGATCTCCTACATAGATCCCCCTGAGTGGTTGACAGTGGTAGCCAGGCACCATCTAGTTCTTCTGGTCTCATAGTTGTATAGGCTGAGGACTGCATGGTGTACCAGTCACTTGGACTAACTGTTTCCATAATCTTTGGTTTTCTTCATTCTTCTTTGCTCTGGATGAGGAGAGACCCATCGTTGCATCTAGATGGCCGCTTGCAAGCTTTTAAGATGCAAGTCACTATTCACCAAAGTAGGATGTGGAACAATGTTTTGTGTAGTGTGTTATGCCAATTGAGCTTGATGTCCCCTGAGACTATGGTCCCGAGCCCACAGGTTCAACTACTTGCTTCTTCTGCATAGCTGGCTGTGGCCAAGAAGTGACTACAACCTTGTCCCCTGTCAGCTTTACTATATACCTGGGAATTCTTTTTTTTTTAATTGTGATTTGGGTGAAGATTTACAGAGCAAATTCACTTTCTATACAGCAGTTCACATATACTTTGTCTCATGTCATTGACCAGTTTACCACAATGCAACAGCTCCCCTCCCACTTCCTCCCCATAGTTACCACTTCCCAGTGTTCATCCCTCCATACGCTCCTGCCCCCTGAGCTGTCTCCCTGTGCATAAGCAGCCCTTCCTTCTCATACCTGGGAATTCTTATAGAACATACCAATACACCTGTAGAAACATTGTCTGCCACTTCTATACATGGTCTTGGCACACTCCCCCTTACAGAGACAAACCTAATAGTGCAGCCTGTTTCATAGGGTTTTTGATGGCTGAGTTTTTGGAAGTAGATTGCCAGGCCTTTCTTGTGAGATGCCTTTGGATGGACTTGAACTTCTGCTCTCTCAGTAAGTAGCTGAGAGCATTAACCTTTTGCACTACCCAGGGGCTCCACAATAAGGATAAATTATTATTTGTCTACGGAATAAAAAATAATTGAAACTGGGTACCAGTATGATAATAGTTAACTTTATAGAAATAAACAGTAACGTTGCCAAATTAAGGAGCTCTGGTAGCGCAGTGCCTAAGGCATTTGACTGTCAACCAGAAGGTTGGTGGTTTAAACCCACCAGCTGCTACACAGAAGAAAGATGGGGCAATCTACTTTGGTAAATATTTATTGTCCTGGAAACCCAATGGGGGTCACTATGAGTCAGAATTGACTCAATGGTAATGGGTATTGCCAAATTAATACAAGTCAAAACTACTATGGTTACTGAGGAGCTCTCGTGGTGTAGCATATAAGACATCTGACTGCTAACCAGAAGGATGGCAGTTCAAACCCACCAGCCACTCTGTGGAAGGAAGATGGGGCAATCTACTTTCGTAAAGATTTACCACCTCAGAAACCCAAAGGGGTCACTATGAGTTGGAATTGACTCTCTGGCAGTGAGTTTTTTTTTTTAAATCATGGTTACTTTCAAAATATTAGTGGAGTTTAAATAAAAGAAAGTTTCCTTTGTTTTAAAATAATACATTTAAAAAGCAGAACAGTTCTGTACCTTACCTTTACAAAAATACTGGTAGGTATAAAGCGCCTCAGTAGTTGATTAGTGAAGTTAGGAAATCTAAGCAAGTTGATGTTGAGAGACGGCAGCTGTTGGTATCCGGCCATTAGAGGATAGAAATTATATAACATTTCCTGTTCAGTGCCAGGCAGGATACGTAATCGAATCTAAATTGTAAGAAGTACAGAATCTAAATTGTAAGAAGTACAGAAAAGACGATCATGTACACATACTCACAATATCCATATATTGTTATCACTGAATTATTTATGAACGATTGGATATCTAAATCCTTCTGGTGAAATATTCACTGTTCCTTCTTACCATGTCCCAGACAGATCCCCAACTGCAGGGCTGAATTAACATAAGGCTAGGATCAGGCACGTTGTAAATGTAGACTAAATATATGTATGGTTTCTCAGTTTCTACCAAGATCTCAAAGGCAACTTGTACCAGCTTCAGACTGAGAAAACTAGATACACCACTACTTTTTGTGTTTTAGAATGGTAGATTCCCATTCACAATATGTTATGGCATCATTTGTAGACAACATAGTGTTTGTAAACACTATGTCAACACAATACAAACTAGCCGCTTCTGGTGTTTTCTTTTAGGAATTTTGCCTTCATGCTAAGGTAACTTTAGGGAAAAGAAAAAGACATTTGAAAATCTTTGGCAATACTTTACAAAAGAACATAAACTGTGTTTGGTATATTTTCTAATTATTTACTAGTCAAGAAACTAAAGAGTGAGAATATGTATGCATATCATGTGTTGAAGAGAGTATGTGCATGAGTGTACCAATGTATTAGAGCTGGTATATTTGATCCCGTTTTTCACAAATTAAAAATATTACATGGAGTTATAGTATGTTTCATATATAATTCTATTTGAGATTTAATAACAAACTTCTTGTTGTTAGGTGCCAGTCAAGTCAGTTCTGGCTCACAGCAACCTTTTGTACAAAAGAATGAAATAGTGACTGGTCCTGTGCCATCCTCACAACTATTGCTATGTTTGAGCCCACTGTTGCAGCCATTGTATCAATCCATTTTATTGAGAGTCTTATTCTTTCTCACTGACCTTCTACTTTACCAAACATGATAGATCTCCTTCTTCAGGGGCTGGACCCTCTGATAACATCACCAAAGTATGAAAGACGAAGTCTCACCATCCTTGCCTCTAAGGAACATCCTGACTTTACTTCTTCCAAGACAGATTTGTTCGTTGTTTGGCTATCCATGGAGTATTCAATGTTCTTTACAAACACTCTAATTCAAATGCATTAATTCTTCTTTGGTTTTCCTTAAGTCATTGTCCAGCTTTCACATACATAAAAAGCAACTGAAAATACCATGGCTTGGGTCAGGTGCACCTTAGTCTTCAAAGTGGCATCTTCGCTTTTAACATTTTATTTATCTTAGAACAGTTTTATTTTTTTTTTCATCTATTTTTTTAAAATTTTGTATTTTAAGAGTTTCTTTCACAGACTCTCAATGTTACATGTACATTTAGTTTCACTCCCCATTTACCATGCCCAAATCTAACCTAACCCAGTCTCCTCCCCTCCCTACCCTGTAACTCTCCCCTGTGCCCCTCACAGTTATGCACTCTTGTTTGTCCTGCATTTCCTCAGTGTAAATGTTGCCCCTCTGGTGCCCCATGGTCTACTGCTCTAAGGGATGTATTACCATAGAGTATGTGGGTGCATCACTCTGGGTTGAGTGGTCCGCATGTACATCTTGTTACCTATTAGGCTGAGAGCCAGCCCCTGGGAGTGAGTTTTATTCCAGGCACAGAATGTATTCCAGGGTCATAATATTGGGGGTCTCATCAGACTCCATCTGACCAGTAATTCAGGTCATTACTGAGTTTTTGGATTTTGTTTCATGTTTTTCCTCCCACTCTATCCAGCATCTCCAGATTTGATCCTTTCCTGAGTGGCTGGCATTGGTAGCCGGGCACCATCTAGTTCTTCTGGGGCTGATTGCTTCCAAATGCCCTTGTTTTCTTGCACTCTTCTTTGCTTCCAATGCTAGGAGACCATTAGGTGCATCTTAGATGGCGGCTTGAAAGCTTTTAAGACCCCAGTCACTACTCACCAATGTAGGATGCAGAACAAGGCTTTTCATGTATTTTGTTGTGCCAATTGAGTCTGGTGTCCCCCAGTACTATGGTCCTGAGACGGTAGATTTATTGGATCTCTCTCCCATAGTGTCTGGGTATCTGTGAGGGATTACTTTGTGTCTGTCTTCTATTGTTTCTGTAAGGATTGCAGGTATTTTGTATCACTGGTGTTTGTGCAAGATTAGCCTCAGCTGAATCTATCCTTGGTCTAGAGTATACTCCTGTTCATTGACCCCCATCTGATCCTTTCAGGTGTTTATGTGTTTATTTGTAGCCTGGTATTTGGTGTTAATGGTAATGTAGTATTGTGGGCACAATGATTGGTATTAGCATCTGTCATGTATCTCTTATGTGCACAATTTGGTGTCCTCTCATTTCCTAATGTTATCTTGGTGGTTACAGACTCCTTCCATATATCCCTCCCCTTACCCATATCAGCGTTTGGGCCCTGAATTTTATCCCTTCCTTTCCCTTCCCACCCTGGTAACCTACAAAGTGAGTTCCCTTTCCCAAGCAAACCCTTCTTTGTCTTTTTACAGTAATGGGCTCATACAGTACTTGTCCTTCTGTGATTGACTTATTTCACTGAGCATAATGTCCTCCAGGCTCATCCACATTGTGAGATGATTCATATATCTCTCACTTAATGTAGAACAGTATTCCATTGTGTGCGTGTACCATAATTTGGTTATCTACTCATCCGTTGATGGGCGTTTAGGCTATTTCCATCTCTTTGCCATAGTGAATTGTGCTGCAATGAACATAGGTGTACACATGTTCATGCGCTCTCTATCACCTCTTTAGGATATATTCCTAGTAATGGAATTGCTGGGTCAAATGGTATTTCTATTTTCAGTTTTTTAAGGAAACGCCATACCATATGTCACAATGGGTGTACTATTTTACAATACCACCAGCAGTGCACAAGAGTTCCAATCTCTCTGCAACCTTGCCAGCATTTATTTTGTGACCTGTTGAACTTTGCTATTATTGCTGGGATGAGATGCTATCTCGTTGTTTTGATTTGCATCTCTCTCATAGCTAATGAGGCTGGCGGTTCAAACCCACCAGCCACTCCTCGGAAGAAAGGTTGGGCAATCCTACTCCCGTAGTGATACTGCCTCGGAAACCCAAGGAGGGGTCGCTATGAGTCGGGGCTGACTCAACGGCAAATAACAACAACAACAACAATGACTAATGATCATGAGCAATTTCTCATGTGTCTGTTGGCCACCAGTATATCATCTTTGGTGAAGTGTCTGTTCAAGTCTTCTGCCCACTTGTGAACTGGGTTATTTGTCTTTTTGGTGTTGAGGTGTTGAAGTTTTCTACAGATTTTGGAGATAAGTCCTTTATCAGATATGTCATAGGCAAATATTTTCTCCCAATCTGTAGGTTCTCTTTTTACCCTTTTGATTAAGTCTTTCAATGTGCATAACAATTTAATTTTTAAAAGGTGCCAGTCATCTAGCTTCTCTTCTACCTGCTTTTAAAACTTTAAAGAGGTCTTTCACAACAGATTTGCTGAATGCAATGTATCATTTGATTTTTTGACTACTGCTTCCATAAGCCTTGATTGTGGATCCAAGTAAAATGAACTCCTTGACAATTTTAGTCTACTCTCAATTTATCATGATGTTGCTTATTGGTCCAGCTGCGAGGATTTTTGTTTTAGGTTGAGGTGTAACCCATACTGAAGGCTGTAGTCTTTGATATTCATCAGTAAGTGGTTCAAGTCCTCTTCACTTTCAGTAAGCAAGGTTGTCTACTACATATTGTAGGTTGTTAATAAGTCTTCCTCAAATTCTGATGTCACCTTCTTTTCATATAGTCCAGCTTCTCAGATTATTTGCTCAATATACAGATTGAAAATACAGATTGTTGGTGAAAAAAATACAACCCTGACACACACCTTTCTTGATTTTAAATCATGCAGTATTCCCTTGTTCTGTTCGAATAATGCCTCTTGGTGTATATATACAAGTTCCTCATGAACACAATTAAATGTTCTAGAATTCTCATTCTCCACAATGTTATCCATAATTTGCTATGATCCACAAAGGCAAATTCCTTTGCATAGTCAATAAAACACAGACCAAGATCTGGGCACTGTTTCGTTCTGTTGTACATAGGGTCACTATGAGTTGGAGCTGACATGATGGTACCTAACAACAACAACAACAACAGCAACAATAACAACAACAAGATCCATCTGACATCAGCAATGATATCCTTCATGCTATGGTCTCTTCTGAATCCAGCATGAATTTCTGGCAGTTCCACATCTATGTACTGCTGCAACCGATTTTGAATTATTTTCAGAAAAATTTTACTTGCACTTGATATTAATGATAGAGTTTGGTAACTTGTATTCTGTTGGATCACCTTTCTTTGGATTGGGCACAAATACAGATCTCTTCCAGTTGCTTAGCCAGGTAGCTGTCTTCCAAATTTCTTGGCACAGACGAGTAAGTGCTTCCACTGTTATATCCATTTGTTTAAACATCTTAATGGGTATTCCATCAATTCCTAGAGCCTTGTCTTTCAACAGTGCCTTCATTGTAGCTTGGACTTCTTCCTTCAGTACCATCGGTTCTTGATAATATGCTACCTCCTGAAATGTTTGAACTTCGACCAATTCTTTTTGGTCCAGTAACTCTGTATATTCCACCTTCTTTTGATGCTTCCTGCATTGTTCAAAGAAGGCACCTGAATGCTACCCAGAAGGCTGGTGGTTCAAAGCCACCAGCCACTCCTTGGAAGGAAGGTTGGGCAATCTACTTTTGTGGTGATACCGCCTTGGAAACCCAAGGAGGAGTCTCTGAGTCAGGTCCAACTCGACAGCAAACAACAACAACAACAACAACAGCATTGTTCAATATCTTGGCCCCAGAATCCTTCAGGGAGCTCTGGTGGCATAGTTCCTAAGGCATTTGACTGCTAACCAGAAGGCTGGAGGTTCAAACCCACCAGCCACTCCTCGGAAGGAAGGTTGGGCAATCTACTTCAGTAGTGATACCGCCTCGGAAACCCAAGGAGGGGTCTCTGTGAGTCAGACCCGACTCGATGGCAATGAGTTTGTTTTTTTTAGTTTTAGAATCCTTCAGTATTGAAACATGAGGCTTCAATTGTTTCTTCAGTTTTTTCAGCTTGAGAAATGCTGAGTACATTCTTCCCTTTTGGCTTTCCAACTTGTCTTTGCACATTTCATTATAATACTTTACTGTGTCTTACTGAGTTGCCTTTGGAAATCTTCTGTTCAGTTCCTTTACGGTATCATTTCTTCTATTCAGTTTAGCTACTCTGCACTGAAGACCAAATTTCAGAGTCTCTTTTGATATCCATTTTGGTCTTTTCTTTCTTTCCTGTCTTATTAATGACTTTCTGCTTTCTTCATATATGATGTCTTTGATATCTTCTCACAATTCATCTGGTCATTAGTCACTGGTGTTCAATGCCTCCAATCTGTTTTTCAGATGGTCTCTAAATTCAGGTGGGACATAATCAAGGCCATATTTTGGCTTCTGTGGACTTGTTTTGGACAACAAACATAACGCTTAGATTATGCACAGAACAGCTGATTGTTGTTGTTGTTGTTGTTATGTGCCGTCGAGTCGGCCCCGACTCATAGCGACCCCTCCTTGGGTTTCCCAGGCAGTTATCACTACGGAAGTAGGATTGCCCAACCTTCCTTCCGAGGAGTGGCTGGTGGGTTTGAACCGCCAGCCGTCTGGTTAGCAGGCAAGTGTCTTAGCCACTATGCTACCAGAGCTCCCGAACAGCTGATTAGTCAGTGTAAATAATTCTAGTTGCTAAGATAGGTTCCACATGTATGTACTGCTGCAACCAATTTTGAATTATTTTCAGAAAAATTTTACTTGCACTTGATATTAATGATACAATTCCTCAAATTATGTCCTTGTAATTAAAAAAAATTACTATTACTGAGTGGTGTCTCTGTTATCACTTTGACATGTAGGACACCTACTCAGGTTTTACCTGTGAGCATTAATTTTGCTCACTAAAAACTTGATGAAGTTCTTCACTTATGGTTTAAATGGATGAATCAAAAATACCTAAATAATTTATTCTAAACATACAAAATCTATTGCCATCATGTTGATTCTGACTGACAGCAACCTTATAGGACAGAGTAGAACTGCCACACAGGGTTTCCAAGCCTGTAATCTTTACAGAAACAGACTGCCACATCTTTCTCCTATGGAGTGGCTGGTGGAGGTAAACTGCTGACCTTTTGGTTAGCAGCTGTAGGTTAACCATTGCAGCATCAGGAATCTTTCATATCAAAGATAAGGCAATTATATGCAGGATTAAAATCTTTAAAAATTTTTCATTGATAGTTCAGAAGAAAAATAGCCTTTAATATTGGTATAGCCAACCTCTAGGCCACAAATTAAAATTTAGAACAATGTCTAAATCACTATAGTTCTAACATAATATAGCCCACCAATAAGTGAACTTATGTTTTATAGGGAGTAAAAACTTGTATGCTTTATATCAATGATGTGAAAGAATAAGGGCTGCCTATTTAATCTATCTCTACAGGAAGTTGCATTTAATTAGAAGTTACTAAAAATTCCTGTTATCAAAACAACAGCCTTACACAGTTCATTTATAAAAAAATAAATGGTCAACTCTCTATTTCCTGGCCATTCTTTTGTGTCTACGTAAGCAATTCCATGTACCTGTTTAAGACCTGAGAACATGAAGGCATCACTGGGTTCCACAGAAATTTCCACATCTTGCACTAAGGTAGTCTTATTCTGTAGGTGGTACTTGACAGGTAACGACTCTCTGACACGCCCAAATGATGGTAGATCTGCAAAAGATAACACATTTTTTTAATGTGTTAAAAGAATAGCTTACCACTTATGGATTCTTTTTGTAAATGTTAACCTCATTCTATAAACAAGAATTACTTAAATTCATAAAATTATTACATCCTTGGCAAGTAAGAAAATTCTCTGACTGGACAATGTCCATGAGCCTATTATAAAACAGGGTAAGAAATTCAGTCTCCTTATGAAAAGGATTGCCTTAATTGCCTCCTTATGAAAAGGGCCTTAGCACCAGGTTTGTTGGTCCGATAGAGCCTGGTGGGAACCCCTGAGACTATGGCCCCTACCTGCCCTTCAGGTCTGGAACTGAACCCACTTCTGTGGCTTCCAGCCAAGCAAAACACAGGCATATGAGCTGAACATTTACATGAGGTAGATACACTCCTTGAGGGAGCTCTGGTGGCACGGTGCCTAAGGCATTTGACTGCTAACCAGAAGGCTGGTGGTTCAAACCCACCAGCCACTCCTTGGAAGGAAGATTGGGCAATCTACTTCCATAAAGATACTGCCTTGGAAACCCAAGGACGGGTTGCTATGAATCAGATCTGACTCGATGGCAGTGAGTTTTGTTTTTTTGGTTATACACTCCTTAGAGAGATCAATCATGGGAGAATAGAAGGGCTGTGTATGCACAGGGAAGAAGAAAGAGGTAACTATGGCAAGGAAGTGGGAAGAGAGCTGTTGCATTGTGGGAAATTGCAGTCAATGTCTTGAGAGAAAGTATATGTGAAATGCTGTATGGAAGATAAATTTGCTCTATAAAGTTTCACCCATATCACAATAAATTTTTTTTTAAAAAAAGGCCTTAGCTATCAGTAGCTGAAGATGCTTAGTAATAACTTTTTTTAAAAAATTTTGTTCCAGTTGAAAATATACACGGCAAAACATGCACCAATTCAATAATTTCTACATGTGCAATTCAGTAACACTGATTACATTATTTGAGTTGTGCAACTATTCTCATTCCTCTTTTCTGAGCTGTTTCTACCCCATTAACATAAACTTACTGCCCTACAAAGTTTCTCCTATCTTGTCTTTCAAGTTGCTACTGTCACTTTGATCTCATATAGTTCTTAAAAGGCATATATTTCTTACTAGTTAAGCTAAACTACTGTCTGGTTTTAAGAAACCTTTAGAGGGTATTTTTAGTTTAAGTTTTAAAGATTACCTCAGGGCAGTAGTTTCAGGGGTTCATCCAGATCCCGTGGCTCCAGAAAGTCTGGAGTCCATGAGAATTTGAAATTCTGTTCTGCATTTTTTGATCAGGAGTTTCCTATAAAATTTTTTAACTAAATATTCAGTAATGTTAGCTAGGTACCATCCAGTTCTAGTCTCATGGAAAACAGGCAGTTGTTTATAGAAGCAATTAGCTACACCTCCCATATCCTCCTCCTATTTGTCACTCTCCTTTTTCTGTTGCTCTGGGTGAATATAGAGACCAATTGCTGTGTCTTGGATGACTGCTTGCCAGCTTTTAAGACCCCAGGTACTAGACAACTAACTAGGAGGTAGAACAGAAGCATGAAACATGTTACTAGTCCAATTAAAGGAGCGCTGGTAGCGTATTACCTAAGGCATCTGACTGCTAACCAGAAGGCTGGCGGTTCAAACCCACCAGCCACTCCTCAAAAGGATGGTTGGGCAATCTACTTCTGTCGTGATACCACCTCAGAAACCCAAGGAGAGGTCGCTATGAGTTAGGTCCGACTCGACGGCACATAACAACAACAGCAAAAAATCCAGTTAACTAGGATATTCCATGAAACCATGATCCTAAAATTGTAAATGAAAGCACCAAATCCCATGAGGTTTTTGGTTTTACATAAGCAGCCTCAGCAGTGACTTTTGTTCTTGTTATTGTTATTACAAATATGTCATACAACTCTTTCCAGGAGTATAACTTACAGACAGCAATTACAATAATCAGCTGGGCTACCCTGACATTTATCAGTAGGATTTTTTCCATCACCATTAACTTCTCTTTTCCCCCCACACTCCTGCCCCTAATAAAACCCCACCGCCACTGAGTCGATTCTCTCTTGCCCCTAGTAACCACTAAAAAACTTTGGCCTCTATACATCTGTGTTTTCTTGAATCTGATCTAACGCCAATTTATATAGATAGTGAAACATCTGGTAGCATAGTGCCTAAGGCACTTGACTGCTAACCAGAAGGCTGGCGGTTCAAAACCACCGGCCACTCCTCGGAAGGAAGATGGGGCAATCTACTTCCATAGTGATACTGCCTTGGAAACCCAAGGAGGGGTTGCTATGAGTCAGGTCTGACTCGATGGCACATAACAACAACAAGTGAAACATCATGCAATCAGCAAAACCTAGACTGTGGGAAGCTCTATAGCACAATTGACTTGGTTTCTTCAATAAATATGTATCAAGGAAGAGATGGAGGCAGACAGAGGTAGTGGTGATAGGAAGAGTGGAGAGAGCATGGAGAAAGAGGAAGGAGAACAGGAGGAAGGAGAACAGGAGAAAAGAGGGAGTAGATAGCGAAAAGCACAGAGGGGTAGGGGGGAGAAGAAAAGTGGGTGAGAGAAGGGAGGGGAAAAGGAGAAGGAGGGGAAGAGAAGGAGGGAGTCAGCTTGTCTTTAGCTTAAAAAAGTATGAGACTTATCAATCAATTTGCAATCTATAGACCTTGTTGCATCCCAATTCAAACAAACGATAAAAACTATTCAGAATCAAATGGGAGAAATGTGAACACTGGAATTTGATGCTATTAAGAAATTGCTCATTTTTAAAGTTATTATAATGGTATTGTGCTTGTGTTAAGAAAAAGAGCAGTCATTTTTCAAAAACACATGCTGAAATACTTATGAATGAAATGATATCTGGGATGCGCTTCAGAATAATGGGGGTAGGAGTGTGTAAGGGTATAAATGAAACAAAACTGGCCATGATCTGTATTTGTAAATGCTGGAAATTTTTCATAATAAAACATTAAACAATAAAATCTTGTAAGTGAAAATAAAAATTAGTATTAGGTTCTTTTTCTCAAGTAAAATCTGAATTCCCATTACCTGCATTCACATGGAGAGGGATATTTTCTACAATCACATGTGGCAGAGTAATGACGGTGCTGATGACAGGGACACTTCCCATGGCTGAAGTTCTGTGGAGAGAAGGTCACACTTCAAATTAACATTTCTGTAAGAAGTTAATAAATCAAAAGCAAACAGGAACATGTCTATCTACCAACTGTTTCAAAGGAAAGGTAAATTATTTAGCCATTTCCTAAACCTTTATTAAAGAAAGTAGTTTTATGACTGTGGTGTAGTAAATTACTTAGTGTGGCTTTTCTACCCGTAAGTCTTTGTAAACTCCAAGGTGGGATTTTCTATGCAACTGAGGAGCTCCTGATTGCTGAAGTTGTCCACCTGGAGTATTTCTGTTTGGCGTGGCATAATACAATGTTCTGGGAGGTTCCCACTCTTTCAGGTGCTTAGAGTTCTGATGCTGTGATTGGCTAGTTTGACCACCCTGCAGGGCTCAAAAGGAGGCCTCCTAGAGGCAGAACTCTCTCTGACTGCTGGTTGAGGAAGACATGCTGCTGAAAGAGACACGGGCTCCTGAGACACACGTTGCTGGGAAAGAGATGCAAGAGACACACATTGCTGAGTGAGACACCGAGGGACCAGCACTGCTGGGAAAGAGACTGTGAGAGACTGCTGGCTGAGGGACGGTGGGCTGGGAGAGAGACTGAGCGTTCTTCCTGAACTTGAGTTGTAGCCTGGTGCTTCCCTAATAAACTCTGTAATATGTGAGTTCTGTGTGGCCACTGCAGCGAATTATTGAACCCAGGAGAGAGGTGGTGGGTGCTTTGGGAGGAACGGCTGGAGAAAGGGCTGGAGGGAGGCAGCATGTCTGGCCTGGCAGGAATAGGCCTTGGGTTACTTCTGGTAATCCTGTCTTCCTCTTGCGGGATTAGAGGAGGTCAGAATATGTGTCCTTCCTGCCCTTTTTGCAATGACTCAAGAGCTTTCAGACTACCATTTTTGTTCTGAAAATTTGCCATTAGCAAATATCTTAGCCTCGTGCTGCTGTCTGTTACCAGTAGGTGATGGATGAATTAAGGAGCTGTGTAAATCCACATCACGAAGCACACCATTTTAATAGGGTTTTGGTAGCCAGACTTTCTCAATGCAGGAAGTACTGTGGTGATTTACATTATGACACACACTCCTTATCTCATTAAGGATGGTTCACAGACAGGCATGAGTCCTCAGACTTTCAAGAGTATGGTTGCAACTGAAACTACAAGTACATAGCAGAAACTGAAGAATTAAAAACATTTCACTGTTAATAAACATAGTGGTGTCCCAATGGTTACTGATATAAATTAAGTAACACTGAAAAACTGTCAAATAGTTCCTCTTTGTTACAGTTAGGGTGGGAACTTCAGGGACACTCGTCCTGCATCTGTGGTGAACAGTTCAACTACTGTAAACACTTATAGAGCAAAAACAACAGGCAGAGACATCTAAACCATCATCATTGATAAATAAAGATATGGCCTTATAGTATTAAGGTTGTTATGTGCCATCGAGTCAGCCCTGACTCATAGCGACCCCTCCTTGGGTTTCCAAGGCAGTATCACTACGGAAGTAGGATTGCCCAACCTTCCTTCCGAGGAGTGGCTGGTGGGTTTGAACCGCCAGCCTTCTGGTGAGCAGGCAAGTGTCTTAGCCACTATGCTCCCAGAGCTCCCTATTAAGGTAGGAGATGGAATAATTAAGCAGTGCCTTCAAAATACTGTTTTAACTCTTGTAAAATTAAACTACTCATAAATATAGATCTAAACACAGATGGTAAATTCAGAAATGGGCAAAAGAAAGATAACAAGATTTTTTTTTCTTAATACTATTTTTCCTTTCATATTTTAAAATAATAAAATTATACTTCTGTTTTGAACATTATGAAATAATTAAGACAAAGAGAGTAACACATCAAATATCATTTATCTACCTCCCAGACAAAGAAAGAAAATACAGTTGAATCTCCCTGGGTCCCCTTTCTGCTTGCATCACCTATCCTCCTTTGCACAAGTAACCACGATCCTTAATTGGTATCTATCATTCCCATATATTTCATCACACATTTCTGAATTAGGTATGTAGCACTAAGCAACAGTATAGCATGTTCTACATATTTTTCAATTTTGTGTAAGCAGAATTTCTTCATATTGTCATCTGCAGCTTTGTTTATTCACTTAACATTAGTATGTTGATAGATGTAACTCTGGTTCATTCATTTTCATTGATATGTATTATTCTGTTATGTGAATGTGTCACAATTTATCCTGTTGATGGACTTTCACTTTATGATTTCAATTTTTTAATATTATAGTTAGTGCTGCTATGAGCACTCTTATACATATTTCCTTTATGTACATGTTTTCAATCTTTTCCAGAGCTGTGCGATACAGATTATCTTTAATCTTACCTTGTGCTGCTGAAGAGTTCCAAATCAATTGTTCTAACTTTGGATTTGTTAAACTTTTCTATTTTTCCAAACCAGTGGAAGAACATTTGAATCTCATTGTGGCTTCAATTTGTCATTCCTGATTACTGGTAAGGTTAAGCTTCTCTCCATGTTTATTGGCCACCCGGCTTCCTCTGCTAACTTAAGCTACTTATTCAAGTATTTTGCTCAACTTTCTGTTAGGTGACTTGTCATTACTGTAGAAGTTCTTGATATGAATACTAATCCTTTGTCAGTTATATGTTATAAATACCTTTTCCCAGCTTGTGTTTTTTTAAATTTTTTTTTACCATTTTTATGGTGCTTTTAAATGAAATAAACTATTTAATTTTAAGAAATCTAATTCATCAATTTTAGAGGCTGGTTGGATTGACAGAGGGGCTGCAACAGTGGGCTTAAACAGCAATAATTGTGAGGATGCCTCAGGGCTGGGTAATGACATTTCGTTCTGTTATATGAAAGGCTGCTATGAGTCAGAGCTAACTCAATGGCACCCAACAAGTCACTGGTACTATTTTTGTTTTGCTTCATGAAATTCCCAATGGTTACTGATATAAATATTGATACTCCAAAGTCATAAACTAATTCTCTTACATTTTCTACTAATAGTAACACAATTGACCTTCAGCATATCTTCAATCTAACATTTCTGGAATCAACCTTTATATACAGTGTACAAACTAGAGATCAATTTTCCTTTTCCAAATGGATAGTCAATTGTTCAGCATCAATTATAAAACAGTTCATCTTTTTCCTGATCTGCCATACTACCTCTGTAAAATGCTGTTCCATATCTGTGCAGAGCCATGAATGTATTTCTAGACTCTCTCTTCTATTCTAATGATTTATTTACATATTCCCATGCATGTGAGAGCTGGACAATGAATAAGGAAGACTGAAGAAGAGTTGATGCTTTTGAATTGTGGTATTGGCGATTAATACTCAAAGTACCATGGACTGCCAAAAGAACAAACAAATCTGTCCTGGAAGAAATACAGCCAGATTGGTCCTTGGAAGTGAGAATGGCCAGACTTCGTCTCACCTACTTTGGTCATGTTGTCAGAAGGGGCCATTCCCTGGAGAAGGAAATCATGCTTGGTAAGGTGGAGGGTCAACGAAAAAGGAGAAGGTCCTCAATGAGATGGACTAACACAGCTGCCACGATGGGCTCTGGTATAGCAAGGATTGTGAGGCTGGCAATGTTTCGTTCTATTGTACATGGGGTCACTGTGATTCAGAGCCAACTTGAAGGCACCGAACAACAACCATGCCGGTACTTACTACCACAGCACTGTAATCAGTCTGGGAATCTGGAAGAACAAATACCCTTGCAGAGTTCTTCTCTTGGGAGTGTCTTGACTATTTCTTTTTGCCTTTCCATATACATTTTAGAATCAGAGTATCAAATTCTCAAACAAACAAAACAAAACAACTGTTGCGATTTTGATGGCAATTGCATTGAATCTATAGATAAATTTATCTATAAATTTATCATTCATTTAGGTCTTCTTTTAATATTCTGAAATTTAAAAATTTTTCTCCATAAGCTTGATGCACTTTTCTATTAATATATTCCTAGATACCTTATATATACTTTTGTTGCTATGTATATGATATCTATATTAAAAGTACACTGTCTAGACGTTTATTACTGACAGATAAAAATGCAATTGCTTTTTATAATATTGATTTTAGATCCAGCAATCCTGCTGAACTTTTATTCTAAGAAGTTTTTGAATTCTTTGGGTTTTCTAAATAACAACATGACTGACTGAAATAAGGACACTTTTTCTCTACTAATGTAGAAACTTACTCTTTAGATTTAGTTTTGCTAAAATTTCATCTGCTTGTAGGTCACAAGGAGTTCTGGTGGTGCAGTGCCTAAGGCATTTGACTGCTAACCAGAAAGCTGATAGTTCAAACCCACCAGCCACTCCTCGGAAGGAAGACTGGACAATCTACTTCCATAGAGATACCGCCTTGGAAACCCAAGGAAGGGTCATTATGATTCGGATCTGACTGGATGGCAGGGAGTTTGGAGTTTTGGTTATAGGTCACAAATTTGAAAAACACATATTTAATTGTACTTTTGGACAAATGGTTCAGTATATCCACTGAGCAGAATAAAGATACTTCTATTCTGTTCCCAGAATGAGAGAAGCTCTCAACTATGTAATGATAATGGCAAACAACTGAAGTATTAGAATAGCAAAGAAACTAAAGAAAAGGTAGGATTGACATCATTTTTACCTCTTCCAGGAGATAATGTAACGCCCAGTTGCAACACCACCTTCAACATTTCCAACTGAAGGACACTGAAGACAAAAGCATTCACTAGCACCCTCTCCAGTCTGTAAGACAACTACAAGAAAGAGTCTTCATTATCCTTTTGCATAGTTCCATCTACCAAAGGAGTTTCATATCCAAGCAACATAACAGAAAAAGAATGCCTTTTCATTTTATATATAATTTTTTTTATTGTAGCTTGAGTGAAAGTTTAAAAGTTTACAGAGCAAACTAGTTTTCTATTCAACAACATGTACATTTTGTTTTGTGTCACTGGCTGCATATATATTATTTCTAGAGGCTGGAAACTAAAGCTCAGAGAGGTTAAGTGACTTTGTCAGGGTCACAAAACTAGGACGTGTTTAAACTGATAAATCAAACTAGCTTCTCTGAGTTCTCTGTCCAGAGAACTCAGATAACCAGATGAGGCAACTGTATGTCTGTGGTAAGTTCTTACTGGAAATAAGGAAAGGAAGAAGTCTGGAAACAGAACAAGACCAAATGCTGATTACTTTTCTTTCTCTCATTAGAAATACTTCAGGGTAGGAAAAAAAGAGAAAACTTTGGTTATTCCTTAAGGTCTCTTTTGAATAAATACATACTATTGATACTATTCAACTGGAATATACCATATATCGTCTCATTACTGCCTAATGTGGCTTCTTGCGCAAGAATGTTTTCCTTTTGCCAATTTTCCAGTAAATTCTCTGATGACAAGGTAACTGCTCATCCAAACCAAGCATTCCTTCTCAGCACTGCACTGCCTGCAATGTCACTCCTTTAAATACAAGTAAGTAATCAATCATGTCTATCTCATGCCAATCTTAGCAGATCTGTGAATGAAACTTTGAAATGACAATAACAACACGCTCTCTCAACATCTGGTAATTGTTCTCATGGTTTTCCAGTGAAAGGCTGTAACAGATTAATGGTGGTCTGATATCAGCAGTAAAAGGGGCAAGAGGTAGCTCAATTTTTCCTCTAATTAATTACTTTTAAGTAATTGTTAAGTGACATTGTAGCCCAACAGGTGAAACGTACTTGAAGGAAGGCACTCTGGTGGAACAACCGAAAGGTTGGCGGTTTAAACCCATCAATTGTTCCACGGAAGATGAAGCAGTCTATTTCCACACAGATTTACAGCCTTGGAAACCCTATGGGACAGTTCTACTATGTTCTGTAGAGTCCCTGTAAGCCAGAATTGACTCAACAGCAGTGGTTTCATTTATTTTTTATCAATTTAAAGCACTTAAGACAGCTTTTTTAAAAACCTGAGCCATTCCTCTGGTGGCATAGTGCCTAAGGCATTTGACTGCTGTTTTGGTTACCTAGTGCCATTCTGACAAGAATATACCACAGGTGGAATGGCTTGAACAAACAGGAGTTTATTCTCTTACAGTCTGGAGGCTTTAAGTCTGAGTTCAAAGTGCCAGGCGCTAGGGGCTGGGTATAAGCCCCTTAACCGTGGACTTTAGCTCTGCCTCCTGCTCCTGGCCCCCTGAAGTTGGAGGCTTTTCTTCACTTAGAAAGTTGCTGGCTGCTGAGACTGACAAGTCCAAGGTTGAGAAGTAAAAAGGCACAGTCCCAATGTTACCAAACAACATGGCAGGCCACTAATTCAAGTCCAGATGAAGTCCCAAGATCAGCAGGACATGGCAGGCTGTTGAACAACAATTTGGCTACATGCAGCGTTCAGGTGCACCAAAAGTCTAGAGACCAATCCCAAAGCTTCTCCTTATATACAAGAAGCAGACCACATCCTTAAAGCAGCTATTCAGCTGCTTGTAGCAGATTCCACCATGAAACTGATTGCCAGTCTCATCATGGGGAATAACTACATCCAGCTGCCCAGCCACTCAACCAGGCCCAGCCAAGTTGACAACAACCTTAACTACCACGACTGCTAACCAGATGGCTGGTGGTTCAAATCTACCAGCCACTCCTTGGAAGGAAGACTGGGCAATCTACTCCGTAGAGATACCACCTCGGAAACTCAAGGAGGGGTTGCTATGAGTCAGAACAGATTCGACGGCAGTGAGTTTGGTTTGGAGTTTTTTTTTGGGCATTCATATTAAAATTATCTAAAATTCTCCCTATGTATGGGAAGTTAACCAAAAAGACCATGATGTTAATGAAAAATTAACATTAGGGTCAAATTTACGATATACAAAATTTGTAATTTTAATGTGCTAAACACAAATTATATAGTGTATTATATTCCTGGATATTCAAATCAGAGTACACTCATTAATTTAATAAACATTTATTAATGAACTACTATGATGCTGGCAAGTCCCTAAATGGTTTGGGCTCAACTGTTAATGTAAAGGCTGGCGGTTCAAATCTACTTAGTGGTACCATAGAAGAAAAGGCTTGGCAATCTGCTCCCATTAAGATTATAGTCAAAAAAGCCCTTTGGAACAATTCTATTCTGTAACACATGGGGTCACCATGAGTGAGAGATGACTCAACGGTAGCTAACAACAACAAAAACAACACAATGCTGGCAATACCAATATGAACAAAACAGTTCTGGCTTTAAGGATTATGTAGTGTTTTTTATAGGGGAGCCAGATCTATATATAATTACAATATGATAAGTGTTATAAAAGAAAAAGTATGTACAAAATACTATGGAACTAAGAAGGAGGAGTACTTAGCCCTGCTTAGGAGGATCAAGAAATTGAAGCTTACGTAAACCCTAAAGAACAAGCAACAATTCAACAGGTTGAAAAAGAAGAGAGTATTTAAGACAAAAGTAATAACATATTCAAAAGCAGATGGGAGCAGTGATTGGTCTAAGACGTTTAGTTTGGCTAAAGTCTGGGAGCTCTGGTAGCATAGTGGCTACGGCACTTGACTGCTAACCAGAAGGCTGGCGGTTCAAATCCACCAGCCACTCCTTGGAAGGAAGATGGGGCAATCTACTTCCGTAGTGATACTGCCTCGGAAACCCAAGGAGGGGTCGCTATGAGTCGGGTCCGACTCAACGGCAAACAACAACAACAACAACAACAAAGTCTGGAAACAAGTACAGGGAAGCAGACAGACTGGTGAAGGAGAGAAGGGGAGGGTAAACTCGAGCCTGACTGAGAAACGTCATGTATAACATGGAAGTTTTTAAAAGAACGACAAGTTCTGATGAGTTTATTTGAGGAATCAAACTAGCAGCAATATGAAAGACACACTAGGGGAGAAGAGAACGCTGGCAAGAAGGAAATCAGCTAAGATGCTCCTTTATAAGCCAGGTAAGAAATGATGAGGACAGCAGACAGTATGGAGACAAGAAGCTGGATTCAAGAGATGTTTATAGCAAGAATTTGGTGTAGGTCTGAAGAAGGAATTTAATTTTTGTCTGCAGTTTCTAGATTAGATGAGGCACACAATGACTTCTCTGATTGGAGAAGGAAATGCAGTATAAGGTTATGAGGGTGTCTAGGTGGTGCAAATGGTTAATATGCTAGGCTGCTAACCAAAAGGCTGGGGTTCAAGTCTACCCAAAGCCACCTCAGAAGAAAGGCCTGATAATCTACTTCTGAAAAATCAGCCATTAAAAACCCTATGGACTGCAGTTCTACTCTGACATGCATGGGGGTCAGCAAGAGTCAGAGTCAACTCAATGGCAACTAATGGTAAGGTTATGAGGCAGCTGAAAACAGAGAATGAAAAGAGGGACCAAAGTCAGGATACTGAAAATGACCAACATTTAAAGGGCAAGAGAAGGAATCAGCAAACAATGGACAGATAGTCAGCTTTTATTACATCCCTTTATCAAATGAGCACTGGGCTAATATATTTCATAGACATTACTTCATGTGAGGAAGACAAAGTATTATAATGAAATACGCAGAGATTTGGAGTTAGAAAACTGAAAGGGAGGAACACACTCGGGATTTCTCAAGCTTAAAAAACTGAAGAAAAAAAATTCAAGCCTCAAGTTGCAATACTGAAGGATTCTAAGGGCAAAATATTGGAACAACACAGAATGTATCAAAAGAAGATGGAAGGAATACACAGAGTCACTATATGTAAAAGAATTAGTCAACGTTCAAACATTTCCAGAGGTGGCATATGATCAAGAACCAGTGGTACTGAAGGAAGAAGTCAAGATGCACTTACTGAATTGGCAAAAGGCTCCAAGAATTGACAGGATACCCAATGAGATGTTTCAACAAATGAATGCAAAACTGGAGGTGATCACTCACCTATGCCAAGAAATATGGAAGACAGGTACCTGGCCAACTGGCTGAAAGGGATGTAAATTCATGCCCATTCCAAAGAAAGGTGATCCAACAGAGTACAGAAATTACTGAATTACTATCACATACAAGTAAAACTATGCTGAAGATAATTAAAAAATGGTTGTAGCAGTACATCAACAGAGAACTGCCAGAAATTCAAGCTGGATTCAGAAGAGGCTGTGGAACAATTATTGATGTCAGATGGATCTTGGCTGAAAGCAGAGAATATCACAAAGATGTTTACCTGTATTTTTTTTGATTATGTAAAGGTATTTGTTTATGTGGATCATAACAAATTATGGACATTCAAAGAATGGGAATTCCAGAACATTTAATCATGCTCATGAAGAACCTGTTCATAGAGCAAGAGGCAGTCATTTGAACAGAGTAAGGCAATACTACATGGTTTAAAATCAGGAAAGGTGTGCATCAGGGCTGTATCCTGTCACCATATATTTTCAATCTATATGCTGAGAAATGGGAGCTCTGGTGGCATAGTGCCTAAGGCACTCGATTGCTAACCAGAAGGTTGGTGGTTCAAACCCACCAGCCACTCCTTAGAAGGAAGATTGGGCAATCTACTTCCATAGAGATACTACCTCAGAAACCCAAGGAGGGGTCACTATGAGTCGTAGAAGACTCAATGGCACATAATAACCACCACCACATGTTGAGAAATAATCCAAGAAGATGGACTATATGAAGAACATGGCATCAGGATTGGGGGAAGACTCATTAACACCTACAACATACAGATGATAAAACCTTGCTTGTTGAAAGCTAAGAGGACTTGAAGCACTTACTGATGAAGATCAAAGACTATATACAGCCTTAAATGTGGATTATACCTCTACAAAAAGAAAACAAAACTCCTCACAACCGGAAAGTGACACCATGATAAATGGAGAAAAGAATGAAGTTGCCAAGAATTTCATTTTACTTGGATCCATAACCAACCCTCATTGAAGCAGCAGTCAAAAAATCCAATGACACATTGCATTAAGTAAATCTGCTGCAAAATGTCTCCCGAAAGTGTTAAAAAGCAAAGATGTCACTCTGAGGACTAAGGTGTGCCTGACCCAACCCATGGTATTTTCAATCACATAATATGCATTAAAAAAACTGGAGAATGATTAAGGAATCAGAAAATTGATGCTATTGAAGTATGGTGTTGTGAAGAATGTTGAACATACCATGGTCCGTCAGAAGAATGAACAGATTTGTCTTAGAAGAAGTAAATCCAAAATGCTCTTTAGAAGAGAAGATGGCAAGACTTCACCTTGAGTACTCTGGACATGCTATCAGGAGGGACCAGTTCCTGGAGAAGGACATCATGGTTGGTAAAGTAGAGGATCAGTGAAAAGGAGACCCTCAATGAGATGGAATGACACAGGGGCTACAACAACAGACTCAAATGTAGCAAGAACTGTGAGGATGGCACAGCACCAGGCAGTATTTTGTTCTGTTACATACAGGGTTGCTATGAGTTGGAACCAATGTGAAGCACCTAACAACAGCATCTCCTTTAACGATGAGAAGTGATGAAACAAAATAAACCATCCTGAGAAGTAGGTGAAAAAAACAAACCATTCAAGGCTACAAAAGATCAAGTGGTAGGGGTTGAGAATTAAATTCAGTCCAAACTGACTTTAAACCTCATGATTATTCCAAATTAGCACAGTGAAAATACAAGGAAGAGGAGGACAGAGAAAAGTAGAAGCAGAGACACTGATGATCAGAAACATAAGATCAAGTTTGCAGAGTGAAAACCACAACTTATGAAAGTATTCTGAGAGCATAAAATGTTTATTATTATTACTATAGAGTGCGAAACATACTTAGCATTTAAATATTAGGGAGGAATCCCTGGGTCAAGCGCTTAACTACTAGCAAATAGGTTGGTGGTTTGGACCCACCCAGAGGTGCCTCAGAAGAAAGGACTGGCAATCTGCTTCCAGAAGGTCATAGACATGAAAATTCCATGGAGGAGTTCTCTTTGCAACACATGAAGTTGTCATGAGTTGGAGGCAACCTGATAGCAACTAAAAATAACAACAAACAGACTTAGAAGCATGCATCATTTTTATTTATTGATCTTACTTAAAGATTAGATGCCAAGATGTTATGCAAGAACTAAACTATATTAGTATTCCAAAGGAAATGATACCTCTTTTATGTGCATTTTCCTAAAATGCATAGAAGTGAAGCACAGAGGCTGCCTGTTCTTTTTGGTGTTTTGGGAGCCTAGCAAGATGCCTTACAGGTTTTTTTTAAAAAAAAAACCTCACTGTGCCATTGAGTCAATTCTGACTCACAGCAACCCCCCTTGAGTTTCCAAGGCTGTCAATCTTTACAGAAACAGACTGCCTCATCTTTCTTCAGTAGAGCAGCTTGTGGGTTTGAATCACTGACCTTTTGGTTAGCAGTCAAGTGCCTTAACCACTGCACCACTAGAGCACCTTAGCATAATGCCTTATAGTAAAGCATTTGATAAATATTTATTGATTATTTATCAATAGATACTGAAACTTATTTTCGGGACAGATGAAAAATTTAAATGCATTTGCTTTTATGAGGACAGCAAAGTCTCAAGTTCTCTCACTCAGCAAAGAGAGAACTCTTGCTTACATTAGTAACTTAACACACATGCAGACAGACACCCCTCTCTCCTGCTAATTAAGTGGGAATGATCCCAGTTCTCACCTCTGTCCACCTGGGACTCTAGCTGATCCACGGAGGTCATGGAAGGAGCAAGCTGTAGCTCACTGTGAACAATAGTGAGGGCCCAAGGAGAGGCACTTAAGATGTCTGTCATCAACAGAAAGGGGATGTCAGCATAGACCCTTTCTAGGTGCTCAAACTGTCACAAATGAAGATAAAGTCTGTCAGACTTATATTTAGTCCATTTCATTTTTTTCTGTCAATTTCTATAACCCAAATAATTTCCAGTATACTTCTTAGGAACATACCTTTGTAGAAACAAATTTAACTGCAACATCAAATGGGAAGACCGTTTCTATTGTTACAGTTTCATCCTGTAAGAAAATTTTAAGAGTACATCCAGTGTCTTTTCTAAATCTTAGTAATAAAGTTTTAAAAATATAAGGCATACAAAATTTATTATTACTAATCATTAAATAATCCCAATTTATACAGCAAGATGGTAGGGTCTTTACCTTAGATGGTATTTGTAAAAATCTATGTTAAGAGTCCTAACTACTATCTCTAAGAAATTACTTTGTAATTTCTTAACAGTTCATTATACAAAGTGCTTCTTATGCATTATTTATCCCAGATTCTAGAGAAACAAACAAGGTGGACATTATCATCCTTTTACTAAAGGTTGAGAAAGATTAAGTGACTTGCCTAAGGCCACAAAGATAGAGGTGCCAAGCCTAGAATCTAGGTTGTCTTTTTGTACAAGTTCTTTGCCTCACCTCAAGATGACTAAAATAGTAGTAATGAAGATAGTAACAATAGTAATGTAACATGACAAACACCATTCTAATCACTATACACATTATGTAACATTAACAATAACACAAGGAAGCAGACACTATCCTTGCTGCCATTTTAAGATGAGGAAGTCACATGCTAATAAGTGGCAATGGTCAGACTAGAACCTCATCTGACCCCAGAGCTTGTCTGTGCTCTTAACCAGCATGCTACATCACTTCTCTACAATAGCCTGTTCACAAAACAGTGAGATTATTACAGCTTTCTGAAACAAATAATCCACTCTTGTTGGTCAAAACCTTTAACAAAGGCCATATAGTACACTGATTAATAGCTCAGGCTATATGCCAGAGAGATCTAGTTCTAATCCTGACTGTGTGTCACATTTACAGCAATGTGACCTTGGAAAAGTCATACAGTCTCTTTAAATCTCAGTTTCAATAATCTTCACAGAGTTGTTAAGAGGATTAAATGAGATAATGCATATAAAGCATTTAGCAAAGTACCTAAATAATATTTATTATTATTTTATGCTTCAAATTATTTCTTCCCTTAATACCAAGGTTAACTTTTTTGAAAGTACAATAGGCAGAATATACAAGGCACTCATACTCATTTTAGTGGTTGAAAAAAGTGTGCAATGGTTGAATATGGTAAAACCTAGGGCCCTCAATAATTTCTCACATAAAAGACCTATAGAAATGAATAAGTAACTCAATGATTAGCTAAGATTTGGCCTACTTTTCATTTCTACCTGGCCTACAGCACAGATTCACTTATGAGTAAAAATCTAGTGAAGGGAAAATAATTTACATTTATTGACCATCTACTATGGCAGTAGGGAAGGTCAGCGTTATCACTATTTTACCAAAAGTTAAGAAAGATTAAGGACTTGCTTTGTTACTATATAACAAGTGTTTTACATAGGTTCACACATTTAAAGGTCATAACAACCTACTGGAATAGGTTCCATTATCCCAATTTTGTAGATAAGGTTAATATTCTGCACAAGGTCAGAGTTAGTAAGCGGCAGAGCAAAGTCCCAGAGTTCATAGGTAGATTTAAACCCTAGTCTCCCTTATTCCAAAGCTGTGCAAACCATTCTACTTTCCTAAATACTGCATACGTCTCTTCTCTTCCCTGTACAAAGTAGCTCCTAACTACAACTCTAACATTATAGACAATTCTGTACAAAGTAGTTCCTAACTACAACTCTAACATTATAGACAATTCTGTATCCTGCAGTTTATGCAGACTCAAAGACTGTGAAGAATTAGTTACAGTTCCTAGTTAAAAGACTGTAATAGCAGACTTTATATTGAACTACTGGAATGTTAACATTTCTTTCCCACATATTAGAGCTAGTGTTTCCTCTTTTAGGTAAGATGGTTTCTCTTTTTGTGTCTAAACTCCATCATTTCTCTAGCAGTTTTTCTCAACTGGGGTTTCTTGAGAGAAGCAAGCCCTAGTGTCCCACAGAATCCTGTTGTGTGGAATTATTTAACTTCTTTCTAATGCAACTAGAATGTGCTATCCCTAGAAAAATTGAAAAAGAAAGGCTGTCAGAGTGCTCCCTAGCTATCTTTCCTTGACTGGGATGAGTAGCCTTCCAAACAGCACCAGGGCCAGTAAGATATTCTATGAGGAAAATATTTCTTGGTAAAATAAGCCGTGCAGTAAAAATACCCACTTAATATCTTGTAACCCAGTTTTTTCCAAGCATATTTGACCAATTCCTTTTTGTATGACATCTGGAGCTCTGTTGGCACAGTGGTTAAAGCATTCAGCTGCTAACCAAAAGGTTGGCAGTTCACACTCACCAGCTGCTCCGTGAGAGAAAGATGAGGCAGTCTCCTTCCGTAAAGATTTACAGCCTTGGAAACCCTACGGGGCAGTCCTACACTGCTGTGTAAAGTCACTATGAGTTGGAATAGACTCAATGGTATGGTTTTTTTGGTTTGTGTAACATCTATTTCTATCGCTCAGACCTAGTATCCTTAAAAATACATCTTGGGAATGAACTGGCTAAAAGAAACATAAATATATCCTTCTTGAATAAAAGTGGCATGTACCTTAATAATATCATATCTTGAGAAGAAGAGAAAATTGCTTAAAGATATACCGCCATTTTGGTTTAGCTTTATTCCAGGATAGTTATTATGCAGCACATAATTATTTTGAAAAAGGTACATTCCAAGTCTCTCATAAATTTCATTGTCATTAGGAGAAATGATATTCAAGGTTTAGGACTCTACAATTGCAAAGAACTTTATTATTCTCATTTTAGAAATGAGGAAATTGAGGCCAAAAGAAGCTAATTGATTTGCCCAAGTTACAAGATTAGTGTTGAGATTAGCACTCTAATCTCCTAATTTACCATCTAGGGCTCTTTACCCCAGACTACATGAACTTTTTGACAGCAAATTCTCTGCCTTTCTCTCTCCCACATGGGAAACACTCCTAGTTCTCTTGGGATGAGTATTCTCTCTCAATGACTTATGAACATCCCAAGGCTAGGCTCTGTGCAATACCCAAACTACAAAGTTCCAAACTGCCAGGGCTTCTCCTTTGCTGGGATGGGGATTCAATTCCTAAGAAGGAGCCTGAGACAACATTGTGCCAGGATTAAGAAGATTTGAAATATCATAATTTGTCATGAAAACAAAACAAGTATTACATACAATATGATTAATTGTATATAAAATATGATTTACAAAATCTGTATAAACAGAAGAGATACCAGTAAGAAATACAGTTAACAGCAGCTGCCTTTGAGTTGTTGGTCTGTGACTGTAATAGCTTTCCTGTCTTCACTTCCTTCTATGTACACTCACCAAAAAGAAAAAAAATAAAAATATGTAAGATTAAGCCTCTGTGTAATAATAAAAGATATTTCAAAAAAGGGAGATCTTCCTCTAAAATTTGCTGCCAACTTATAGATTTTATCTAATGTGTGATTTTATAAAGAAGTAGGTAGGTTTAGAATCTCAAGTATCTAACAGGCTTGCATGAGATCTCAAACCTGCTGATTCTATATGCAACAAGTCATGTCAGCCAATTTCAGTCTAATGCTGGAGCAATGAATACCAGCTTAAACAAACCTTAGTATAAATGATAAGAAAATCAACAGATGTTTAATTAAAATTTATAAGTGATTATAAACACCTAAGCTGCTTATTTTACAGATGAACGAAAATGACACAAAATAAGGGAACACTCTGTATATGAAGCTTTGTAACAGTAGCTAAAAAAAAAAAAATACCTTGTGACACTTGCAAACAATCTCTTTTTCTTCAACAGTTGAATTGATCAGATAAGAAACATAGACAAGAAACATTCTTGAACCCACTGTTCCACAACGAACATACAACATTTTTTCTAGCTGCAACAAAATAAAAGTCTTAATATAATTAATAGTACAGAGATTTCCTCCTGATATGTATTCTAGAATAATGTTCCCATATTTTAAGAGTTTACTGTACCTACTGCTTAAATTCTTTGAATATTTTTTATAGGCTTTTTTTAATGATTTTTTAAATCATTCTCAGCTTCCCAAGATTATTTTTATAGGCTGTTGTGTATGTATAACTAATCATACATGCACCATGGAAAACTACCCTGAGTATATTCCTGCCACTGTATAAGACTGGGGACATTACTACTCAATTTTTTCTTTTTAAATCATTCTCAGCTTCCCAAGATTATTTTGTGTTTGATTTGGAAATAAAAGTTGACTGAGAGGTTATTTCACAAAGATACAAAAAATAGTTATTCTATCAGGCAACCAATTCTTCGTATTAGGATCATTTGTTGTTAAAATCCCTTATATAAAAACTGCTTAATGTGAATGTGTAAAATGTTCATTATTTTTTTTTTCAGTCCCAGGACATTGAAACTGTTTAAATACCACTATATGTTTAAAACTATGAAGTAATTGATTTCCTCTCCAATCATAATGACCAAGTTCACCTGTTGCCCCGGTTGTAAATCTCCAACAGGGATGTCAGTGAGTAAAGCAGGGCAAGTCTCATCACACAGTTCTGTTCCATGAAGAGTCACATGAGTTTTCTGAGTTAAATTGGCATCCTGTCCTGAAAGCATTAACATTTGTGTTTTAAAATACAAAGAGTTCAAACATTATCATAACAATCAAATGACCTTATGAAGAGCATTATATCGTAACCGTATTTTAGAAAACTTCTTATAAACTTACACATCTGCCTGTTATATAGGAATTAATAACTGATCTCACTTAAAGAATGTTTACCTGGTTTTAAACCAGCAGTGAGCTTCACATCTCTGATTTGGGTCTTTTCATGGGACTCAACAGTCACAACCAGGCAATACATTTCATTAGTCAGGGCAGGAGGCTCATGTAGCAGATGCACAGAAATGTTTGGAACTCTGGATATGATCCTTTGAAAAGAAACCTGCGTTAAGTAACTGATTTTTAAAAAAAATAAACAAAATATTTAAAAGAATTAAAAGGATGACCGTTAATGATTTGCGTGGCAAGACTTACATAGTGCTTGCCTGAATGATGATGCTGTCCCAGTGAACCTCGTTGTCAGGTAGCTTAGGCCGTCTTTTGAAAGAACGTGATGCCTGTAAGGCTTCCTGGGAGGAAGCAGCATCTCCTCCTCCTCCCTGCCAATTTAATACTACACATCTTCCTGTCTCATTGCCTAGAATCAGATCCACTGAAGTAATCTAAAAGAAAAAGACCTATCAGAAATGTCATCTCATATTTGTCACTATCTCCTTCTCAAAAAAACTGTAATTTAGATTGCTAGTTAAGAGTTAATCTAGAGAAGCACAGTGTAACAGAAGTAAGAACACCTGCTTTCTGAGTCTTATTCTGGTCGTCAATTAGCTATGATAAGGAGTGCTGGTGGTGCAGTGGTTAAGGCATTTGGCTGCTAACCAGAAGTTCAATGGTTTGAACCCACCAGCCACTTGACAGAAGAAAGATGAGGCAGTCTGCTTCTGTAAAGATTTACAGCCTTGAAAACACTATGGGGGTCACTATGAGTCGATGACAGTGAGTTTGATTTTGGTATTCTCTGTGACATTAGCTAACTGTACTCTGGGCATCAACGTCTTCATCTTAAAAACAGAGATAACCTTTCCAGTCTAAGGGATTACAATGCATATCATAGAGCACTGTTGTGATTTGCATGTGGCATAGTGCCTGACATAGTGGTTGCTTAATGAAATAAATGTCTTTTAATGACCTTAATAGATTCATAACTCATTTCTTAATTCCATAAATATTTTTCCTAAAAACTTTTATAGTATTAGCAATGAAATGCTTCATTGATTAAACAAATGTCTCCTTCAATTAGATCCATTAACAAATGGATTTAAAACAGGATTATTAATTATGATTTCTGTCTCGCAGTACCACGTAAAGAATAAAATATGTAATTAAGTACAAAAAAGGAATAAGCAAAAAACTCCAGACTCTAGTTTATAATAAAATTAACAGATTCACAGAAAATTGTTATGGGAATATTAGTAACCCAAAAAACACAGCACTGTTGATTCTGACTCAACAGTAACCCAGAAAGACAGAGTAGAAATGTCTCATAGGGTTTCCAAAGCTGTACTCTTTACAGAAGCAGACTGCTTCATGTTTCTTCCATGGAATGGCTGGTAGGTTCAGACCACCAACCTTGTGGTTAGCGGTTGAATATTTTAACTTCTGCATCACCAGGGCTCTTTGAATATTGGTATAATCACTTTATATTTCTATCTTAGAAATAAACCAAAGTTTAGATAGAGTAGCTAACCATTCCCATCCTACTTCCATAGTGATACTGCCTCGGAAACCCAAGGAGGGGTCGCTATGAGTTGGGGCCGACTTGACGGCATATAACAACAACAACAACGATAACAACCATTCCCATTCAAGTCATGGAAAACAAGCACATAATGAGTACATACTGTGTGCTAATCACTACTCTAAGTAATTTATATCAATTAATCCTTACAAAACCTTGTAAGGTAGATACTATTACTATCCCTATTTTACAGGTAAATAGCCTGGGATACAAAGAGGTAAAGTAACCACATACGGTCACCAGATAGTGAACTGGGGAGTTGGAATTTAAACCCATGTAGTCTGGCTCCTCAATTTATACCCAATACAAATATTATTTTCATCATATATTTCTCAAAGCCATTTCAATGATCTATAATAAATCAACTTTTTAAAAATATTTTTTCTTTAAAAATATGCAATGCAGCAATGTTTAAAGATCAAAAAATAGATGTTAGTCTTAATTATGTTATAAAAAATATCTGATATGTAATATATATCATTAAAAACTCTATAACTGATTGTGTGGCCATTTAAAAATGAGGTTATTCTTCAAAACAAAGGGGACCACGTTTGCTGATCTGACAGAGCCTGGTGGAACCACTGAGACTATGGTCCCTAGCTGCCCCTTAGGTCTGGAATTGAAACCACACCTGTGGCTTCCAGCCAAACAAAAGACAGGCATAAGAGTTGAACATTGACCTGCGGTAGATACATTCCTTGGAGAGAACAATCATGGGAGAAAGAAGGGCTATTTATGCATAGGGAGACAGTTCAGGGGGCAGGAGTGCATAGAGGGATGGACACTGGGAAGAGGTAACTATTGGGAGGAACTAGGAGGGGAGCTGTTGCACTGGGGTAAATTGTAGTCCATGTCATGATACAACGTGTGTGTGAACTGCTATATGGAAAGTAAATTTACTCTGTAAACTTTCACTCAAATCACAATTAAAAAAAAAATGAGGTTATTCTTATGTACTCATATGAAATGATTCCTAATATACGCTTAAAAAAAAACAAACTCACTGCTGTCGAGTCAGATCCGACTCATAGCAACCTCTTCTTGAGTTTCTGAGGCAGTATCACTACGGAAGTAGATTGCCCGAACTTCCTTCCGACGAGTGGCAAAAAATGCCAGGTACAGAATATTAGGTGTAATATACTTTCAATGTTCTTAATTGGAAAGATTTAAAAACTCTAACAATGTTTCTAGAAAGATGTCTGGAAGGAAACATAAAAAACTATTATGTACGGTTTCTCTTGGGAGTTCCAGGTGGGCAACTTTCAGTTTTTACTTCTATATTATCTGAATTTTTTCTGAAATAAACATACTACTATGATAATTTAAAACATATTTAAGTAAATTGCATAACTAACCTCAATCTTCTTTCCCACATCTTCCGTTTTTGCAACAAATTTAAATAAAAATTTTCTTGTTTTACCAGGAACTAAGCACATTTTTTCCTGAGTCAAATTTTCTAAAATTTCACTTGCTTTGGATGGTTCTTCTATTACACAGAACTGGTTGTATTCCTGAAAAAACAGTTTAGGAAGAGTCTCAGTTCATAAACGTTGGAAGTCAGATGTTTTTCTAACTCTAAACACCAAGTGAGTTGGAGCTTGTTAAATTTAACTCCACTTAAAATTTCAGCAGAAAACTGAAGCATTATGAAGGATTATTGATAACAAGAAGTATTTGTATACCAAAAAACAAAAACAGAAACAAAAAAAACCTCAAACCCACTGCCATCAAATCGTTCTGACTCACAGAGACCCCCACTGGGTTTCTGAGGTGGTAAATCTTCACAGAGGTAGATTGTCCAGTCTTGCTTCCGCAGAGTGGCTGGTGGGTTTGAACCACCAACCTTCTGGTTAGCAGTCAGATGCTTAGGCACTGTGCTACCAGAGCTCCTTATTTTTATACCAATCAGACATTTTTTGATCAACTCACTGCTGTCATCAGAAAAAGACAATTCACTAATACACAAGATGATTTCTGAAAACAGGTGCTCAGAGACAGAAGTAAAGATCTGCTCTTTGTTTCACTGCATACTACTGACAATCACCTCCTTTTCTTGAAGAGTCTTGTTCTGCTTGGCTTCCGTGACACTACAATAACTCCTGTTTTTCATCCTCCTTGGTATTTACTCTTTTTCCAACCAAAGACCTTTTTTCTTCTGCCTGTCCCTTTAATTTGAAGATTCTACAGGTTTCAGTCCTTGGCCTTTTATTCGTTTCTCTTTGTGGTCACTTCATCAGAAAATTTTTCCATTTTCACATATAGCACAGATAGCACCTCTGTGCTATCTCCTACATAAAAACTTTAAATTTTGTCCTTTTCCTTAACTACAAGCTCATATCCACAACTGTCTGAAGGACATTTCCACTATCAGCTCCAATTCAGCATGTCCCAAAATGAATGTACACCTACTTTCCAGAAAAGCATACTCCTTACAGATGAATAAATGAAGGCACCTCTCATGTATGTATTTATTGGATCATCATTCTCATCCATTCAATATATAGTGAGAACTTTCCAAGAGTCATCAATACCAGCAGATGAACTACCATCACACAAAATTCTTTTATCGTTCAAATTTTATACTTTCTCTCTAATTTTCATTTCCATTCTATGCTTATAAAACCTAAGTAATCTTTCTTGTGATCTGTAACTCGAATACCAAATACGATACATTTAGGATAAATATAATTTTAAAAATTAGTTGCTTTGTAGTCCCTTATTTTAATTATAAAAGTGGTATATGTTTGTTGGAAAAAAAATACCCAACAAGACAGCAGGTTATGAAGGGAAAAGTAAAATAGTGTCTATAACAACTCTCTAATTCTAGACTTAGAGCATTTCATGATAAGCAAAAGAACGACCTGTCCTCATGGAGCTTATGTTCTAGAAAGGAAAACAAATAATTTACCAAATAATCACACAAAGGTAAACTCACAGCTGAGGTAAGTGCTATGATTGATCCTCAGCCCCTAAAATGCTTACATTTTAAAAGGATGACATTACTGTACTTTTTCAGGTTTACCGTAATGCTAAGAACATTTTAACTTTCAATGCTTGCTGACTGAAGGCTTAATATGCCTTCTGGGTAACCAGAAGTTGATTATTTCTTAAGTGAGCTATTAATTGAAACAGCTGGATGTAATAAAGAACTTGACTTTTAGTACTGTATTTTATCATACTTCAGTAATGTTCAAATGCAGAAAATATGGTATGCTCCCAATTCTGAAGAAGAAAACAATGTTGCTTATATATACTTTCATGAGGGCACTGATGGTTCACAGCTAGAATTCTTGCCTTCCACGTGGGAGACCCAGGTTCGATTCCCAGGTCAACGCATCTTATGCACAGCCACCATCAGCTGAGGTTTGCATGTTGCTATGACTCTAAGCATGTTAGAGAGGTGCTTCCAGATTAAGATGGACTACAAAGAAGGCCTGACAATCTACTTTAGAAAACCAGCCCATGAAAACCCTATGGTTTTTATAGAACAGGATCTGTTTGTTCTCTAGTTCTCGAGTTAGGACGACTTGGCAGTAGCTAGTAACAAGAACTCTGGTGGAGCTGTGGTTAAGGCATTGGGCTTCTAAGCAAAAGGTTGGTGGTTTGAACCCATTAGCTGCTCCATGGGAGAAATGTGAAGCAGTCTGTTTCCATAAAGATTTATAGCCTTGGAAACCCTATGTGGTTCCCTATGTATTGGGATCAATCTGACTGATGGCAGTGGGTTTGGTTTGGTTTAGTAACAACAATAATATATGCTTGCAAAATAAATGTCTAGATTATTCAAGAAGTTAATGGTGATAGCCTCTGGAAAATGGAAGCAGAAGATCACACATTCATCTTTTACTTTATATCCTTCTACTGCATGCCAAAGGAGCTCTGGTGGCAAAGTGGTTAAAGTGCTTGACTGCTAACCAAAAGGCTTGGTGGTTTAAACCCACCAGCCACTCCGTGGAAGAAAGATATGGCAGTCTATGTCCATAAAGATTTATAGCCTTGGAAACACTACAGGGTCGCTATGAGTCTGAACTGACTCGACAGCAACAAGTTTGGTTTTGGTTATTCTATCCCCATTGTTTTATTTTTATCATCAAACTTTTACAATCAAATGCTAATAAAAATGTTAGAACAGAATACAAAGCAAATGACTTTAAAACTTAGACTATACTCATTCTGAATATGTCAATTTAAAATTCAAGTCACACAAAATGTATATATACAGAGTTCTTAGGTTTCACAAGCATGGAATGAAAACCAAAATTAGAGTAGGAAAAGTATACATCTGAATTGATGCTTTAGAAATATGAATATATTTGCTTTTACAACAGGCCTTACCAAAATTCATTTTCTACTGTGAAATCATCAAGACGTAAAATTTACCAAGTTTGTTCTATCTAGCTTAACTCAAGCTACAGTAAGCTATATCCATGGTAAAAACATTAAAAAGTACTATTACCTGATTATTAAAGCTGACACAGAGCTTGGAAAACCTAATAGGATGTGGACAATCAGCCTTCAGGTGAATATCAAACTGAACAGGAACATCAACATGAAAACTTGGGGCATGAAACTTGGCTTTGCATTGTACTAGAAATAAAACAAAAATGTCTGAATTACTATCAGATAATCTAGAGGAATATACATTTTTCTTTGAACCATACTTACTCTTCAGAAAGAAGGCATCCACACTGGTCATTCTTACTGACTTCTGTATTTGGATTTCAACAGATGTAAATATAACTCACATACTATAAACAAAATTCAAATATAATTCCTAAACTATCTTTAATTTTAAAAGCTAAATGCCTCACATGAAAAGATGCTTAGCATCATTAGCCATCAGAGAGACGCAAAGCAAAACTACAATGAGGTACCATTTAGTGCTAAGGCATTTGACTGCTAACAATAAGGTTGGTAGTTCAAACCCACCAACCACTCCACGGAAGAAAGACTGGGCAATCTATTTCCGTAAAGATTTACCACCGCAGAAACCCAAAGGGGAGTCGCTATGAGTCCAAATCGGCTCAATGGCAGTGAGTTCTTTCATTTTTTTTTAGGATGGCTAAGATATTAAGGCCGGGGCATGAGGCAGGTGGGCCCAGAGCTTGGAGACTGCTTTTCACTAGGGGGTGGCTTTATATTAAGGCCGGGGCCTGAGGTAGGTGGGCCTGGGGGTTGAAGGCTGCTTTTTGCCATTTAGAATCAGACAACCATATGATCTACTATGCCATGAATGACAAATTGAAGAGGAATGATGTGGCATTCATCATCACAAAGACTGTTTCAAGATCTGTCCTGAAGTACAACACTGTCGGTGATAGGATAATAGCCATACACCTACAAGGAAGACCAGTTAATACGACTATTATTCAAATTTATGCACCAACCACCAAAGCCAAAGATGAGAAAATTGAAGATTTCTACCAACTCTGCAGTCTGAAATTGACTGAACATGCAATCAAGATGTGTTGATTATCACTGGTAACTAGAATGCAAAAGTTGGAAACAAAAAAGAGTTACTGGTAGTTGGAAAATATGGCCTTGGCGACAGAAATAACACTGGAGATCACATGATAGAATTTTGCAAGACCAACGACTTATTCATTGCAAATACATTTTTCTTCACAACACAAATGGCGGCTATATATGTGGACTTCACCAGATGGAGTACACTGGTATCAGACTGACTACAACTGTGGCAAGAAGCAATGGAAAAGCTCAATATTTTCAGCCAAAACAAGGCCAGGAGCTGATTGTGGAACAGACCATCAGCTGCTCATATGCACGTTCAAGCTGAAGTTGAAGACAATTAAAACAAGTCCACAAGAGCCAAAATATGACCTTGATTATATCCCTCCTGAATTTAGAGATCATTTACAGAACAGATTTGATGCACTGAACACCAATGACAGAAAACCAGAGGAACTGTGGGATGACATCAAGAACATTATCCATGAGAGTGCACCCAAGAACATGTATAGGGTTGGCAGACAGTGGTCCAATAACTTTATGTGTATGAGGTGAATTCCCAGGTGTATAATGGGGCTCACAAGGGACAAGGTTGTAGTCACTGCTCGGTCACAGCCAGCTATCCAGAGGTACCGAGTAGTTGAACCTTTGGGCTCAGGACCATAGTCACAGAGGACATAAAGCTCAATTGGCACAACATACTACACAAAATATTGTTCCACCTCCTACTGTGGCGAGTAGCGACTGAGATCTTAAAAGCTTGCAAGCTGCCATCTAGATGCAACGATGGGTCTCTCCTCGTCCAGAGCCAAGAAGAATGAAGAAAACCAAAAATTCATGGAAACAATTAGTCCTAGCAACTGGTACACCATCTGATCTGCAGCCTATATGACTATGAGACCAGAAGAAATAGACGGTGCTTGGCTACTACTGTCAACCACTTGGAGGAGGATCTTTGTAGGAGATTCTGGATAGACAGGGAGAACAATGTGGAATAAAACTCAAAATCATTTGGGGCAAAAAAAAAAAAGTGGGGAACAGATTTGCTGCCCCGAGGGAGCCTGGTGGAACCACTGAGACTATGACGCCTAGCTGCCCTTCAGATCTGGAATTGAACGCGTACACCTGTGGCTTCCAGCCAAACAACAGACAGGCATATCAGTTGAGCATTACCTGAGGTAGATACACTCCTTGGAGAGATGGACACAGGGAAGAGGTAACTGTCGTCAATGTCATGAGACACAGTGTATGTGAACTGCTGTATGGAAAGTGTATTTGCTCTGTAAATGTAAATTTTCACCCGAATCACAATTAAAAAAAAAAAGAACATCATCCATGAAGAAAGCACAGGTCATTAAAAAGACAAGAAAGGAAGAAAAGAACAAAATGGATGTCAGAAGAGACTCTGAAACTTGCCCTTGAGCAGAGAACTGCTAAAGCAAATGGAAGAAATGGCAAGATAAAAGAGCTGAACAGAAGATTTCAAAGAGCAGCTCGAGAAGTAAACCCAATTACTATAACGAAATGTGCAAAGACCTGGAGTTAGAAAACCTTAAGGGAAGAAAACGCTGTGCATTTCTCAAGCTGAAAGAACTGAGGAAAAAATTTGAGTTGCAATATTGAAAGATTTTATGGGCAAAATAGGAGCTCTGGTAGCATACATAGTACCTAAGGCACTTGACTGCTAACCAGAAGGCTGGCGGTTCAAACCCACCAGCCACTCCTCAGAAGGAAGATGGGGCAATCTACTTCCATAGTGATACTGCCTCAGAAACCCAACGAGGGGCACTATGAGTTGGGTCTAACTTGATGGCACATAACAACAACAACATGGGCAAAACATTGAATGATGCAGGAAGTAATAAAAGAAGATGGAAGAAATACACGCAGTCACTGTACCAAGAAGAATTGGTGGATATTCATCCATTTCAGGAGGTAGCATATGATCAAGAACCGATGGTATTGAAGGAAGAAGTCGAAGCTGCACTGAAGGAATTGGCAAAGAACAAGGCTCCAGGAATTGACAGAATACCCACTGAGATGTTTCAACAAACAGATGCCGTGCTGGAGGCACTCATTCAGTTATGCCAAGAGATTTGGAAGACAGCTACCTGGCCAAGTGACTGGAAGAGATCCGTATCTGTACCCATTCCAAAGAAAGGTGATCCCACAGAACATGGAAATTATCGAACAATATCATTAATACCGCATGCAAGTAAAATCTTGCTGAAGGCAATTAAAAAATGGTTGCAGCAGTATACTGAAGAGAACTTCCAGAAATGCAAGTTGGATTCAGAAGAGGACGTGGAACGAGGGATATCAAAGCTCATGTCAAATGGATCTTAGTGAAAGCAAAGATTACCAGAAAGATGTTTACTTATATTACTGGAAAGCTGGACAAAGAATAAGGAAGAATGAAGAAGAGTTGATGCTTTTGAGTTGTGGTGTTGGCAAAGAAAACTGAAAGTACCATGGACAGCCAGAAGAATGAACAAATCTCTCCTGGAAGTGCAGCTGGAATATCCTTGGAAGCGAGAATGGCCAGACTTCGTCTCACCTACTTTGGTCATGTTGTCAGAAGTAATCATTTCCTAAAGAAGGATATCATGCCTGGTAAAGCGTAGGGTCAATGAGGGAAAGTCCCTCCATGAGATGGATAGACATAGTGGCTGCAACGATGGCTCAGGTATGGCAAGGATCGTGAGGCTGGCACAAGACTGGGGACTGTTTCATTCTGCTATGCATAGGGTTGCTATGAGTCGGAGATGAGCCAACGGTGCCTATCAACAACAACAACAAGATGAAAAAATGAGGAGCTGTGGTGGCGTAGTGCCTGAGGCATTTGATTGCTAACCAGAAGGTTGGTAACCCACCAGCTACTCCTTGGAAGGAAGACTGGCGATCTACTTCCATAAAAATTTTCTGCCTTGGAAACCCAAAGGGGGTTGCTATGAGTCTGAATCAACTCGATGGCAGTGAATTTCTTTTATTTTTTTTAGGATGGCTAAGGTAAAAAAAAATTGAAAATAATAAATGTTTGTAGAATTTGGGGAAATTGGAACCCTTATCCAAGAAATAAAAATTTATCCACTGCTTCAAGGAATGCAAAATGCTACAAACATTGTGTACAACAGTGTGGCAGTTCCTCAAAAAACTAAAAATAGAATTACGTATGACCCACCAATTCCTTTCCTAAGTACATACACAGAAGACTTGAAAGCAAAGACTCACTTAAAGAGACTTGTATACCGAGGTTCATTGTAGCACTATTCACAATAGCCGAAAGGGGGGAACAACCTAAATGCCTACATCAATAGATAAAGAAAATGTGGCACATACATATAATGGAAAGTACTCAGTGAGTAGAATAAATGATGTCTGGATACATGCTACATGTCTGAATACAGTATAGACAGAGCTTAAAGATATTATGCTAAGTGAAATAAGTCAGTCATAGAAGGACAAATATTGTATGACCTCACTTATAAGTATAGAGACCAAACTTTATTAGTGGTTACCAGGGGCAGGATGGAAGGAGGAAAGGAGGCTTAATGGAGATAGAAAAATCACACTGATTATGGGTAAGTATGCATAGCCAATTAAAACTATGTGATAGATATGTTTTTATCAATGACAGAAAAAATGGGAGTAGCTGCTAAGGTTGTTTATGTACAACTAAACCTTAAGGAGTTTGGTTCCTTGGAGATTTAGTGTGATGTTTCCGTGGGATATCCCAATTAATTGGCCTAATAACATATGTTTAGTGCTTCTAAACCACATCCTAGTTTGCTGAGTAGTGCCTGAGGGCTTGAAAGCAATCATTCAAGGTACAACAGTTGGTTTCTATTCACCTACAGCAACAGAGGAAGAAAGAGAGTCAAAAATAGGAAAATAAGGAATGTGTGGCTAATTACCTCCATGAACAACTGATTCCTTTGCCATGAGACCAGAAGAACTGGATGGTGCCCAGCAACCATTACTGAACATTTTAATCAAAGATTCCATAGAAGAATCTTGATCATAAGGGAGAAAATGAAGGACAAAATTTCAAATTCTCATGTTTTCTAGACTTTCTGGAGCCATGGAATCTTTAAACCTTAAACCAAAAATGTTTCCTGAAGTCATTTTGAAAACAAACAACAGTTTAGCTTAACTAGTAACAAAAGTCTGCCTTGAGCATGGTGCTCTTTTTAAGAACTATCCATATGGGTTCAAACTGACAACACCAACTCAGAAGATTAGAAAGGAGCCTTAGGGGATAGTGAGTTTATGTTAACGACAGAGGAACAACTCAGAAAAGAGGGGTGAGAATGGTTGCATAACTTGAAGAATGTAATCAATGTCACTAAATTATACCTGTATAAAGTGTTGAACTGATCTGTGTTTTGCTATGCATATTCTCAACAACAAAATAAATAAAAGTTAGAGTGGGGAGGAAAAAGCATAGTGCCCCTACGTTGGTGAAAAGGATAAATAACCATCTTGTTATTTTTAACTTATTTCAAAATATCTGCCTGGACATAATTTAAATCTTTTAAATAACTACCTTTTAAATACATTTCAAATAACACCTGAACTACAAATGAACAAGGTATATTTTAATCTATACAACAAATATTTAAGATCTTGCTCATCTTTATAAGTCAACAGGTACACACAAAAAACAAAAGATAGGCTATCTATAAAATGACTATACTTTGAAAAGTCTTTGACTTTGACATTTATTCTCTGGTAGCATAGTGCCTAAGGCACTTGACTGCTCACCAGAAGGCTGGCGGTTCAAACCCACCAGCCACTCCTCGGAAGGAAGGTTGGGCAATCCTACTTCCGTAGTGACACTGCCTCGGAAACCCAAGGAGGGGTCACTATGAGTCTGGGCCGACTCGACGGCAAACAACAAACAACAACATCCTTTTCATAGAAATAAGAGTGATTTCTCTGAAATAATAATTTAAATGTTGGCTACCCACCAAATGGCACAAAGTCCTGTACTCCTATTGTGAAAACGCTGCTGCCAGCTAAAGAAACACGGTCCGCCCACAGCTTCTGAGCAGTTTTCACAGCTAAGATATCACAGTCAGGTTCAGGTTCTGGACTTTCATTCTGCACCAGCATAGAGTCAAATACATATTCAATTAGTTTAAAAAAGATATATACACACAAACACACACATATATAGATTTAGATATATACAGGCCTAGAAAATATTTCATATAAGGAATTTCAACCTACCATTAAAACATTTATGAGGTTCTTTTCTATTCTAGATTTCTGCTCATCTTTTAGAGTTGAAGCTAATGAAAGAAGGGGAAAATAAGTGAGAACGTAAGACAGGCAAGTAAGTTTACATCCTCCATTTAATGTTTTTAAAATATTGAAGAGTAAATACCTCTGCTAAGACAGCTAGGGAGCTCTGGTGGTGTAGTGCTAAGGCATTTGACTGCTAACCAGAAGGCTGGTGTTTCAAACCCACCAGCCATTCATCGGAAGGAAGACTGGGCAATCTACTTCCGTAGTGATACCGCCTCAGAAACCCAAGGAGGGGTCACTATGAGTTGTAAATGACCTTACAGCAGTGAGTTTGGTTTAGTTCAAGACAGCTAAGTTAGCCCCAACATTTTATATATTTGTATTTGAATACAATGTGAAAACTATGTTATACCACATTTAAAGAAATAAACAAAAAAAATTTATCTTTATTATCAAGAACTCTCAATATAGCAAGTTCCATTAGGAATGGATAATGTTACTTAACACCAAAAAAAACCAAACACACTGCCGCTGAGTCGGATCCGACTCAAAGCAACCCCTCCTTGGGTTTCTTCTAGTTAGCAGTCAAATGCCTTAGGAACTATACCACCAGAGCTCCCATCACTTAGCACAGTGGCCTGCATATAGTGAGTACAAGATAGTATTTCAGAGACTGAATTATTCTTCACAATTGAAAAAGCTTAAAGATACTAAATAATTTGAGATTCAGAATTTTATGGGAAAAAAAAATCAAGTTACCTCTTCCAAGGAGCTCTAGGGAGTATGTAATGTAATCCTTTAATTGGGCCATGAGGTAGGAACACTTCAGAGCTGTTGTCAATATAGATGTGAGTAGAGTCCACCATCCTTCAGTCCGATAATCACACATCACATAATCTAGCAGCCTAAAGGAAGACAAAAATATAAGACATACTGAAACAGCTTCACAGCAAAGGACTTGAAGGGTTCTTGGAGAAAACAAAATAAAGTACTTTCCTCATTTTATATAAATATAAGAAAATCCCACTGAGATAGTTTAACAGGTGTTTTCACATTTATCTAAATGTGAAGTTTCCTAGGACCTGGGAACAAATTATGCAGATGGTACTTGGAAAAAAATATCATAGAAATGGAGCGTAGCAGAAGTAGAAATAAATATGGAAATTATAAGTCCTTCAATACAAATTTCTATTCTAACTTTCCTGTAAGGTAATCAGAATACTTATAAAATTAATAGTGAACAGGACTCACTTCAAAGCTTTGGTATAATCCTTTGCATAATAATATTCCTCTCCCATTTGAACCACTATAAAGGAAAAAAAAGATTTTATGTACACAATTTAAAATTATTCAAAGTTATATGAAATTGTGCCATGTTATGAGTACATACTCAGATGACTTTTCATTCTTGGACACTTATACTTCTTAAATTGGGCAACGGCATTACTCAGAAGAGTTATTATTATTTCCTGTTAAAAAGATTAAAGTGTTAAAGGTTCTGATTATTTCTTGGATATTATTTAAAAAATAGTTATGTTAGGAAAAATAACTCACAGAGTGAACAACACTTCTTTCCTTCAGCTGAATGGCAAGAACTCCCACCTTCTCTTTTTCAGGGTCAGAAAGATCAAAACCTGTATAGGACAAGACACAACCCATTTCAGAGAGCTCATTAAACACAAATCCTTCACATCAACATTGTATGTGTATACTCTTTGACTCCTTTACTTTAATGTATTTAAGATTCTTAAACATTCTAGAATCTTAAAGATTCTAAGAGACAGCTTTATTAATATGGAAACTTCCCTGAGATGCCTATTCTGAGGAAAACATTACTGAGCACTATTTTTTTTTACCTATTGAAATCAACCACTTGTAGGAACAACATCAGTATCATTCTCTATAGAGAATATGCTCTCTGGAGAGTAAATTTTTAACACAGTCCAACTGCCACAGAAGCTGCTCAAATGAAAATGTTGTTAGGTGCACTGGGTCGATTTGAACTCAAAGCAACCCCACGTGACAGAGTAGAACAGCCAGCTCCATAGGATTTTCTTGGCTATAATCTTCACAGAGGAGTCCTGATGGCACAGTGGTTAAGTACTTGCTAATCGAAAGGTCAGCAATTTGAACCCACCAGCCAGTCTGTAGAGAAAGATGTGATAGTCTGCTCTTGTAAAGGTTGTTGCTGTTATTCGGTGCCATCCAGTCAGTTCCAACACACAGTGACCTCGTGTCCAACAGAACTAAACCCTGCCCGGTCCTGTGCCATCCTCCCAATCGTGGCTATGCTCGAGCCCATTGTTGCAGCCACTCTGTCAATCTGTCTCATTGAAAGTCTCCCTCTTTTTTGCTGACCATCTACTTTACCAAGTCTTGGAAACCCTATGGGAGCAGTTCTACTCTGTGCTACAGGATCACTATGAGCTAGAACTGACTCAAAGGTAACGGGTTTAGTTTTGTTCTGTTTTTATCTTTATGGAAGCAGATTTCCAGGTCTTTGTCCATGGAGCTGCTATGTGGATTCCAACCTCCAATCTTTTGGTTAGCAGTTGAGCACTTAACTTTTTGCACCACCAGGGCTCCTTCAAATTAAAGTAAGTATTTATAAAACACAAAAAAAGATGCAGAGAAATTACTTTTGAGGTAATAAAAGTTCATGAGGTTTTAAGATGTCAAATATAATTAATCATTAAAGCCAAATGGAATTAGAATATCTAAATAAACCACAGTCATTTATTTTGTTATTTAAGACAATAGATGTTCAAATGTTTTGATCACATACACATCTTTAATTATAGTGTCACACTCAGATGCAATGATACAAACAAAACATTCTCAAAAGTAAAGAAACTGCAAATCTTAAAAAAAAAAAAAAGTTTAAAAAGCATGCATTTTTACCTCAACTTATCTCTTACACCTAATGGAACTAACAGAAAAATTATTGTAGCTACCTTTGCCCTTATTCTTTTAGGTTTAGAGAAATGAGAGAAAGGAAAAAATATTTACTTAGTACTCCTTGCCTCCATGATCTCTGTCCATAAAAGTCAAGCACACCTGTTTGTGTTTGTAAGGGATCAGGATTGGGATATATTACAGAAGCCTGCAAATTAAAACATAGCCCTAAATAAGAGTTTATGTAATACATGACAAATCAACTCTCCCCAATCTTTGATTAAATAAAAAACTTTGCATAAATACAAATACCAAACACACAAATATCAAAATTGTAAATATTTAGCATAAATTTTAATAAAAATTTAAAATATTTTACTATAATATTTAAATAGTAGTCTTATAAAAATTAAATTGAGTAAACCAAATTCTGACAATTTTTATAGTAACTTCTTTACATTTTCTTTTTTATATTTGCTATAAGAAATAGCACAAATATATTATAAATTATGCTTGATATTTATTCCATGTCCATAAGCACTCTTTGCATAAATGAAAAGTGTTACACACAGTTCAAGAGAAGATTATTTTCTTTCTGTACTGACTTTTGTATTAAGCCATGGTGTTTGGAGCAGATGTGTGTATTTAGGTATGTATGTGTGTAAATATACACATATATGTATATGTATAGGAGCTCTGGTAGCATAGTGCCTAAGGCATTTGACTGCTAACCAGATGGCTGGCGGTTCAAACCCACCAGCCACTCCTCAGAAGGAAGGTTGGGCAATCCTGCTTCCGTAGTGATACCGCCTCGGAAACCCAAGTAGGGGTCGCTATGAGTCGGGGCTGACTCGACAGCATATAACAACAACAACATGTATATGTATACACATACATATACATACACACACACACACACACACACATAACATGCATACACATATATACATCACATATATGTATTTTTGCTTTACCAAACACAAATCAATTTTCTCATGGTTTAAGAGGCTAGAAGTCCTAATTCAGGGTGCTGGCTCTCAGGGAAGGCTTTCTCGCTATCAGCTCTGGGGGATGCTCCTTGTCTCTTCAGCTCATGTTTCCTAGTTCGTTGGAGATTGCCATGTGTCTCAGCATCTGTTTTACTCCATCTCTGCTCCCGCTCTCTTGTTTAATCTTTTTTTTTTTTTTAATATTTTATTGTGGTTTGGGTGAAAGTTTGTGGAGCAATTAGTTTCCCATTTAACAATCTATACACATTGTTTCAGGACACTAGTATAAACCCCTCAATTTAACAGCATTTTTCTCATTTCCTCCCTGGGTTCCCCATTTCTATTTGCTCATCTTCCCTGCCCTCTGAACTTTGATTCTGGACAAATGTCCCCTTTTGGTCTCATATGGTTGACTGTTCTAAGGAGTATATTTCTCATGGGCATTACTGTTCACTTTATAGGCCCATCTATGCTAAGGCACTTGACTGCTAACCAGAAGGCTGGCGGTTCAAATCCACCAGCAACTCCTCAGAAGGAAGGTTGAGCAATCTACTTCCGCAGTGATACTGCCTTGGCAACCCAAGAAGAGGTCGCTATGAGTCAGGTCCAACTCGACGGCACATAACAACAACAAAATTGTTTCACTAGGAGCTCTGGTGGCATAGTGCCTAAGGGATTTGACTAACCAGAATGCTGGAGGTTCAAATCCACCAGCCACTCCTCAGAAAGAAGGTTGGGCAATCTACTACTGTAGTGATACTGCCTTGGAAACCCAAGGAGGGATCACTATGAGTCAGATCCAACTCGATGGCAGTGCATCTGGTTTGGTTTATTGTTTCACTGCAAGGTGATCTCTGGGAATAGGTTTAGTTTCATGTTTGAAGTGTGTCAAAGGGCCATAGTCAGAGGGGTTCCACCACTATCAGATGAGTAAGTCTGGCCTTTAGTATGATTTTGAATTTTGTTCTACATTTTTCTCCCACTCTGTACATGATCTCCTACTGTGATCCCAATCAGAGGGTCAGTGTGGTAGCAGGGTACCATCTAATTCTTCTGGTCTCAGGCTAGTGGAGGCTGAGGTTCATGTGGCCCATTAGTCCTTTGGACTAACTTTTCCTTAAATCTTTGATTTTCTATATGGAGTGGGGTTATATTTTTGGTACCAGAATTTTTTTTCTTTATTTTAATTATGATTTGGGTGAAAGTTTACAGAGGAAATTCACTTTCCACACAGCAGTTCACACACATGTTGTCTCATGACATTGACTACAATTTATCCCAAGTTAACAGCTCCCCTCCCACTTCCTACCTCTTACCTGTGCCCATCCCTCCATGCACTCCTGCCCCCTGAGTTGTCTCCCTGTGCATAAAAAGCCCTTCTTTCTCCCATGATCGTTCTCCCCAAGGAGTGTATCTACCTCAGGTACATGTTCAAGTCATCTGCCTATCTTTTGTTTGACTGGAAGCCACAGGTGTGGGTTCAATTCCAGACCTGAAGGGCAGCTAGAGACCATAGTCTCAGTGGTTCTACCAGGCTCTATCAGACCAGCAAACCTGGTCCCCCCCCCTTTTTTTCCCAAGTGATTTTGAGTTTTGCTCCACATTGTTCTCCCTCTCTATCTAGGATCTCCTCCATAGATATCCCCTCCGAGTGGTTGACAGTAGTAGCCATGCACCATCTAGTTCTTCTGGTCTCATGGTCATATAGGCTGAGGATCTCATGGTGTACCAGTCACAAGGACTAATTGTTTCCATGAATCTTTAGTTTTCTTCATTCTTCTTTGCTCTGGATGAGGAGAGACCCACTGTTGCGTCTAGATGGCTGCTTGCAAGCTTTTAAGATCCTAGTCGCTACTTGCCAAAGTAGGAGGTGAAAGAATGTTTTGTGTAGTATGTTATGCCAATTGACTCAATATGTTTTTGGAAAAATTTTTTTGAACAGTTCTATTGAAATTCACCTATCTTCAGACAAAAATAAAAAAACTACAGACTTCAGGTAAAAATAAGCTAATGGAACTATATGAATGAAAATGAATTTATAAATATCATATTCTTATTTTAAAGGAACTGTGGGGAAACTGATATCTAAATGTGATCATCCAAGAGGAAGGCAAAAAGAAATGTCAGGTTTAAGATACTATGTAACTAATACTATGTCTCAAACACATTCTTAAGAGTTTTCCACACAGGAAACCCCAGGAAATGAAAGAAGTCAAAAGTTGTTTTCTCCAGTGGGTTAAAATAGAGCATATCCCTCCAGTCTCTTCCAAATTCTTATAGCAGTGATCACAGAAACAAAATGATGAGTTTGTACTGTGGCAAATGTTAAAACTTTCTCCTATCTCAATTATTAATTTATTACCAATCATAAATCAGTTCTTCAAAGAAAAAACTGCTTAATTCACAAGTAAAATGGAATATCAGGCAAAAAACTCAAAATAATTCTAATTTCTAAAAACATAAAAGATGAAAATTGATTATATTTAAGAACTTAGGAAAAATTAATACTACCAATCAATCCTATTTTCTTTCAAGATAAATTAGTTTCCTAAATGTAAGATAATACGGTAGGCAGTAACTTACTTCATGGTTACAGAGGGTTTTGGCAAGCTGTTTCCGTTCCTGGGCATAGTATGCTGCCTGCTGATAATAGAAACCAGGATTCTGAGTTTGAATGGCTGTCAATCCTAATTTAATAGCTTCATCAAATAAATCTCCAAAGGCCTGGAATCTTAAAAAATAAAAAAGAAAAAGATTACTTCTAATTTTTCAACCTGGGAGTCATAACCTCAGCTGCCTGCAAACATAATGCTATTGATTAACAGTTAATATTTGTTGCAGTTGCAGACTAACTTTGGGTTACAGATAAATTCTGTACTTAAGTCAACTCTTCTGTGTTAAAAAGTCTTTAAAAATACACCATCAAACTATATCTCAGTATAGTTCCAAATATAGCCATGTTTCTGGAAACAGTTTCATTGTAACAGTATTTAAACATCAGTCTCAAATAAGCTCCTTGGCAAGAAGAATTTTGTTTTATATACTGCTCTATTTAGTTCTGGTGGTGTAGTGGTTAAGGCATTTACTGCTAACCAAAACATTGGTGGTTTGAATTCACCAGCCACTCTCTGCGCAAGAAGAGGCAATCTGCTTCCATAAAGATTTACAGCCTTGGAAACCCAATGGGGTCACTATCAGTGAGAACTGACTTGATGGCAGTGAGTTTGTTTTCTTTTTTTGGTTTATTCTTAGGACTTAGAGACAAGGTGGAAATTCAGTAAGTATACATTAAGTGAAAGAGATGGTACCATGAACGAACAGATTTCCAAAAAGGAAATGCATGAATCAGTGTTGACTATTATTGGAAACATACTTACACTAGACCATTAAATACCTAATTACTGACAAAAAACTTAGTTCAATTTAGAATAAAAGTCCATGCTAACTTCACTCAATCAAATCCCATGTGCTATTTTTTTAGACAGTCTAGAAGTACAACTTAAAACATACTGTTTAGACATCCATGCAGCATGCTCAAAAGACAACTCCGCACTTCCAATTTTTTTCTTACACAAGTCAATGTGTTTTCGGAACTGAGCAATTGCATCCAGTGGGGTGTTATGCTGAAAACACAGCCTACAGATCTGGAAAACATAAAATCAACCCAAAATGAAAAAGAAAAAATTAAATTAAATAATACTGAAGGGCATATTCACTAAAAATGTGCAAAATGCAAAATTTAGAAATAACTTTAAAAAAAAAGGGGGTGGGGGGAGCTATGGAATTTCCTTCTCTGAAGGTCTTTACAATAGAACTGATTCTCTCTTTAGAATGGTTACACTAAAGCCAGCTTGTGGTGCTTTCGATAAACGAAATAAAACTACTTACTATTTGTACTGAATTTATTCCACATCTTAAAAAAGCTTTTTTAAAAATACAGGATACAAATAAAAAGTATTATACACAACAATGCAGAACATAAAGTCCGCTCTATGTTAAAGTCAACTCTTCTGTGTTAAAATGTCTTTATAAATATACCATCAAACCAGATCTCAACATAGTTCCAAATAAATGTCTAATTACATTCTCCATCTGAGAAAGGACAAATTAAATCTCAGTTTACTAACTACCAGAAAGTTAAAGATTCTTTGTAGTACAAATAAAGCACAAGAACCTCTGTATTGACATATCAAACAAAGATTACAGAAATTTTCAAACACTTTTTGGCTAGGATATTATTTCAACAGTAATGATCTATATGCATTTGGGGTTAAAGGAAAAACAGAAGGCGCAAAGCCTAATTTATTTCCATATGCTTATTACAATTTTTATTCATTTTATTTTTTAGGTATAAAGGGGTATACCATGAAAAGTAAGTCTCAACCATCCCTGTCCTTCACCCATCCAATTTTCCTTCTCTTAGGTAACCAGTTTCTGGCATGTATTTTCTAACATATATTCTACACAAAGACAAGTGTACAGGTGTGTTTATATATAAATTATTTTTTATATAAATATTTCAGTAAATATGCTTTGTGCCTTGTTTTTTTCACCTATATACTTATAAAACCTAATTTTATTCACCTGAAATATCTTGGATATCATTCATATCAATATATAAAGTGGCTTAGTTCTTAACAGCTATGTAGTACTGCACTGTTTGAAGTTATAATCTATAACTTATTATACTGCTGGGATGTTTCCAATGGTTTGCTATTAAAAGATGCAATAAATATCCTTATATATGTGATTTGCAAGTGTTACCATTTATGTCAGATAAATTTCCTGAAATGCAATTGATAGGTCAAAGGCAAACATGCACTTTAAATTTGTACAGTCATTGCAAAATTATTCATTCCTTACACCAGCAACAAATTAATGGGTCTATTTGCCCAAACATATCCAGCCCAGTGTCAGACGTCTTTAAGAGATGAGTGTAGAAAAATTAAAAGCAAACCATATCACCCTCACTTGCCTTCAGGAGGTACCTATGTCTACCACAGATTGATGACGAGGATGATGATGATGATGATGATGATGATGATGATGTGTGCCCTTGAGTACATTCTGACTCAAAGCCACCCAGTGTGACCAAGTAGAACTGTCTCATAGGGTTTTCTTGGCTATAATTGTTACAGAAGCAGATCTTAAACACTCAAACAACAGGTACAAAAGTTTCCCCTAGGGTGAGCAGATATGCCTTCTTTTCTATGGCTGCTCTGTTAAAGCAAAGAAGGCTTATATAGCTCTACTGTGCTATATATTTTCACAAATTCATTTTCTTCTCACTCCCACCTGATTCTACTTACCAAACAAACAAATAAAAGATCTGCTCAAAGGAGTTTTCTAAAAGTAAAACTGCTCTAAGTAAGAACCCTGGGACCAATAAACTAAAAAACCAAGCAATATAACTAAGGCTGCTAAGAACCAAGGCCCCTCTTCAGATAAAGAAGATAAAAGAGAAAAACGTAACTGACCAAATACCAATTTTTCAGAGAAAGTTACTAATTTAAAATTTTAAAAAGATAATTTAATATTAAACACAAATTCCCTTGACTTAGAAGTAGAACCATTACCTTGTAGTTTATAAATCCTGCCATAGTCTTAATTTCCAGAATATTAGTTTCATGGGCTCTCAATTCATGTATAAGATTATAGGCAGTCCTATAATTCCTGATATAAGCATAGAGAAGGTGGTTAATGGTATTAATTCATTTGAAGAAAAGACTCTTAAGAACAAAATTATTACAAATATAGAGACAATACTACTCAAAATTTCTTAGCACTAAACAGCTCCACAATACATAGCAATCCCTGATTTCCTTAAGATGTATTGATTAATAAGATATAAGTACAGAACTAAGTACAGGACCACCACAAGTGTACTCCTCTCTTTACCATTAACATGTGTCAATAAATGAGAAAAAAAGTTGAAAAACAACAATATTTGTTGACTGAATTCATTGAATACAATGAAAAATTCATTGAATTGGAATGAAAAATTACAATGAAAAATTCACATTAGGTACCACTGCTTGCTTTCCGAGTAACTCTTCTCTAGAAAATGTATTAGAAAACAAAGAAATTGATATCAAGACAGGGTACAGGTCAACAACTTTCTAATCCCAAGTATCTCTACAAGTGAAGTGGTTATCAATAATCTCAGGTGCAGGCTGAAGAGGAAGGAGAAATGGTCTTAGAGTGACTAGTGCTAAAGGAGAGAGGAGCTCAGGAACTAGGGCAGCACTAATGGCTGTGACAGGGGCAGCAGTGACTGCATCACCAGCTGCCTTGCTGAGCACCCTTAAGATAGAAGTAATAAGAAAATTTCAAAACAGACTTCTCCACAAAAAAAATGTTTGCTCTTGACTTCCCCAATTAAAGTTTTCCCTTTTCAAAATTATTTTTGAATTAGAACTGGCATTAAAGGTTTCTAACAATTAAAATAAAAAAACCAAACCAGACGTTGAGTTGATTTCAACTTATAGTGACTCTGTAGGACAGAGCAGAACTGCTCCCTTAGGGTTTCCACAGACTGCCACATCTTTCTTCCAGAGTGGCTGGTGCGTTCAAGATGCCGACTATTGGTTAGCAGTTGAGTGTTTAATCACTTATACCACCACAGCTCCTTTCTATTACCAGCCATACAAAATGAACTACTTTAAAACTAGGTCAAATTATATGATGGTGTTGAGTCTCAGACACTACAATTTGGTCTTCAGTACCTCAACAAGAAAATAAGAGGTTTCTACATTATTCCTCTGAATAACAGAATTATTTTATTTACTTCTGTATTTTTCTTCCTGATAAACTTAGCCCTGTCATCAATTTTGAGATAGAGCTCTATTTTATCCTTTTATTACATCACTACTGCCAATATTCAAAACTTGAGTTAAAGCTAGAAAGGGATTATATTTTATTAAATTGTATCTGACACACAAAGGGATAAAATGCTTAACCACCACCAAAACATCTGTAATTAATCTTCCAGGTTCTGAGCAGAATCTCTGAATGGAAAATGATGCTACTAACAGTCATTATAAACTTAAAAAAAAATATGTATTAAAGTAAAATAAGATTATAGTTGAATGGACACACTTTAAACTTCTAAAAATATATACTCTGATTTAGATAATCTGTAATATATTCACCTTTGGAAATCATCTTTTAACAAAAGAATTATACCAAACATAGAAATAAGGAAGTCAAGAGGACAGGAAAAAATTTAATACTGTTTTTCTTTAAATCATGAAATTTTGATTAAATTAGCCAAACTAGAAAGCTTTATAGGCACTATGAAATTTGCTTTAGATTATAAAAAGGAATTTAAGAAAACCTCAAAAATATTATAATCACCTCTGGACAAACTAAAAAAAATCTTAAGTGTCTAAACCTAATCAACATAAACATTTAAAAATTAAAGTTTTGTTGAGATTCAGAAGGTGCCATTAACGTTGTTACTGTTAACATAAAAAGAAGAAAATTTTAGTTTGACAACTGTTAGAAACTTACTTCAAAGCATTTTGTGTATCTTGTTTTAACTCACTGAAGAAAGCTATTTTGAACTGATGTCTAACAAATAAAAGCTGAAAAAGAGACAAAAAATTATTATACATATTCCCTTAAAATATGAAAATTAAAATAATGTTTATTAAGAGGCAATGTAACAGTATCTAAGAAAACGTTCCAAATGAAAGTAAAAGAATTATTCCAGCCACCAAAGATACAGTTAAGGCTATATAAAAAAAAAACTATCTTTAAGAACTTTAAAGGCAAAAGTGAAGAGATAACTTTTAACAAAAGTTTAAAAACTGATCTCTGTACTTTTAACTCTCGTTAAATTAGTTTTTGAAACCTTAAAAAAAAAAACTTTAAAAGTACTGAAGCCATTAACATCAAAGTCTTAAAGACATTTAATAATCTCCTCAAATATAATCAATGATGAATAACCTGCTCTAGAATGCATATATTATTTCATTTTTAAGGGAAAAAAAATGGACCTGGTGTGTTGTTTTATTCAAAAATTCCTTATGGGATTTCACTCTTCTGATCTCAGTGTAGTAGTAAGTCTGTGCATGTTCATAAAAGGCATTTTCTAATCTGTAAAAAAAAAAAAAAAAAAAATGCTCTGTAGACTGCTACTCAAACCATAATAAAAAAAAAATTTTTAAAGCCCCCATTTGAATACTAAAGTTATTTTAAACCAAATTTTCTAAGAATTTCATTTATGAAGCCTCAAAGTAAAATCCTGAAAGAGAAATATCTAAGTATTTTACCTCATGATTAAGACAAAAAGTGAAGCAAAATATGAACTAGGTAAAATGTCTAAAAATAAGAACCCCCCCCAAAAAAAGCCACTTAAACTTGCTTACAATCTAAGTTATAAGTGATAAAAATAACCTTTTCTCTTTTGTAAAAATTAGGTGTCTTTAAGATTACTTCTATCACTACAATTTTATAATTTTACAAAAAAAAATCTCAAAAAAGAGATATCCAATATTCAATTACATTTCACTGTTATTATATTTTAATATTTAGGGGTTAAAGGATAAGAAAACTAATGGGAAAAGGACCAAAAATGAGAACTTGTAGATGAGATAAAAATAACAATTACATGATTTAATTCCTGCTTTGTTCGTAACTTTGAATTTATGCAAGAACTAAGAAAATCTGGCCAGAGATGGATAAACCACTCAAAGCTTCTTTTGTGAAAAGAAGAACAAAGCAGGAGTCTTTGCTTAGGGAATGACAGAAAGCTGAACACACTGTCAGATAAAGTCTAAACTTCAAAGTTTTTCTTTCCTCAGAATAAAGCGGACTTTCAAAGGGTTTAAACGTATCTAAAGAAAACATGTAAAGAAAAAAAAAACAGAATAAGTAAACTTTTACAAAATTAGATATATTTTAAATTGGATCTTCTAGGTTAAGATTTTCTATTTCCAAATCAGTGTAGTTGCTGTTAGGTGCTGTTGAGTCAGTTCCAACTCAGTAGGCTTTATGTACCACAGAAAGAAACACTGCCTGGCCCTGCACCATGCTCACAATTGTTCCTATGTACGAAACACTGTTGCAGCCACTGTGTCAATCCAGCTCATTGAAGGTCTTCTTTTTCACTGACTCTCTACCTTATCAAGCATGATGTCCTTCTCTAGGCACTGGTCCTTCCTGATAATCTGTCCAAAGAACAGGAGATGAACTCTCATCATCCTGACTTCTAAGGAGCATTCTGGCTGTACTTCTTCCAAGACAGATTTGTTTGTTCTTCTGGCAGTCCATGGTATATTCAACATTCCTTGCCAAGACCATAATTCAAAGGCATCAATTCTTCTTCAGTCTTCCTTATTCAGTGTCCAGCTTTCACATGCATGTAAGACAATTGAAAATACCATGGCTTGGGTCAGGGGCACCTTAGTCCTCAAAGTGACATCTGTGCTCTTCGATACTTTGAAGAAGTCTTTTGCAACAGATTTGTCAAATGTAGTGGGGTCCCGCCCCCCTCACCGTTTTACTCTCAACAGTTCACGCACATTTGGTTTCACAGCCCTGACTACAATCCCCAACTATAAAAAGCTCTCCTCCCATCTCCTCCCTGTGACCACCCCTTCCCTATGCCCTTCTTATCTATGCATTTCTGTCTGTCCAGCTTTCCCTTTATGTGAATGCTGCCCCTCTGATGTCTCACAGTTGACTGCTCTAAGGGGTGCATCTCCCTGGGGTAGGTGTTTTGCTTGTAGGTCTTTCTACTATTTGGCTGAGAGCTAATCCACGAAAGTGAGTCCAGTTTCAGGCTGCCATAGTCTCAGAGGTTCTACCAGTCTCTATCTGACCAGTAATTCTGGTCATTTTTGTGTTTTTGAATTTTGTTCCACATGTTTCCTCCCACTCTATCCAGGCTCTCCAATTTTGACCCCTTTCTGAGTGGTTGGCATTGGTAGCTGGGCCCCTAGCTCTTCTGGTCTCAGGGTCAGGAAGGCTGAGGTCCTTATGATCCATCATATCCTTGACTAATTTTCCCAAATGACTTTGATTTTCTTCACTCTTCTTTGCTTCAGATGAGGGGAGACCAATAGTTGCATCTTACATGGCCACTCGAAAGCTTTTAACACCCCAGTTGCTAGTCACCAAAGCCAGGCTATAGAACAAATTATGTACTACGTTGTGTCAATAGAGCATGATGTACCCCTAGACTATGGTCCCGAGCCTGCAGGCCCGGTGACTCTCTCCTTCAAGTTGCTAGTAGTAGAAAAGCTACTCTATCCTTGTCCTCTGTTAAGTCTGTAATGCACAGGGATATTTTTGTAGCACAAGTACATAAATGAGACTATCTTCAGCCAAATCTATCCTTTGTCTTGGGTAGATTCCTGTTTGTCTACTCACACCTGATCTTTTCACCTGTCTGTGCATTTACCCATAGCCTAGTGTTTGCTGCCACTGGTAGTGCAGTATTGTGCATGTAATAGTATTTGCCTCTGCTGTCTATCTTCTGTGCATGTTTCTGTGTCCTTCTTTTCCCTACTGTCATTGTGCTGGTCACACACTTATTGTTACATTGCCTTTCCCTTCACCCAAATCAACATGTGACTATTAGCTAGTCAGAAATTTTCCCTCTTGGGGGCCACACGCTGACAGGGGTAAGGGGAGGGATGGTACCGAAAGAGTCTGTGACCACCATGGTAACATTAGGAAAATGGAGGACACCGAATTGTGCACATAAGATATAGACAACAGATGCTAATACGAACAAGTATATCCACAATACTGGATTACCATTAACACCAAACACCAGGCTACAGATAAACACAAAAACATCTGAGAAGATCAGGCAGGAGGCAGTGAACAGAAGTATACACTATACCAAGGATAGATACAGCGCAGGCTAATCTTGCACAGATACCAGTGATACAAAATACCTGCAATCTTTACAGAAACAACAGAAGACAGACATAAAGTAAACCCTCATAGACAGCCAGACACTGTGGGAGAAAAGATCCAATGGATCTACCGAATCAGGACCATGGTACTGGGGAACCAGACTCAACTGGCACAACAAAATACATAAAAATCTTGTTCCTTATCCTACATTGGTAAGTAGTGCCTGGGGTCTTAAAAGCTTTCAAGCGGCCATCTAAGATACAGCTAATGGTCTCCTATGGTCGGAAGTGAAGAAGGGTGCAAAAAAACAAGGGCATTTGGAAGCAATCAGCCCTCGGACATAATGGCCCTCGAGAGCAGAAGTAGATGATGCCCAGCTACCAATGCCAACCACTCAGGAAAGGATCAAATCTGGAGATCCTGGATAGAGTGGGAGGAAAAACGTGGAACAAAATCCAAAAACTCAATAATGACCAGAATTACTGGTTGGATGGAATCTGGTAAGACCCCCAATACTATGGCCCTCGGATACATTCAGTGCCTGGAATAAAACTCACTCCCAGGGGCTGGCTCTCAGCCTAATAGTAAACAAGATGTACATGCAGATCACTCAACCCAGGGTGACACACCCCCATACTCTATGGAAATGCACCCCTTGGAGCAATCAGCCACGGGCCACGGGGCACCAGAGGGGCAACATTCGCGTGGAGGGAATGCAGGACACACAGGAGTGCATAACTATGAGGGGCACAGAGGGGTGGGTTACTGAGCAGGGAGGGGAGGAGACTGGGTTACGGTTGGGGATGGCAAATGGGGTGTGAAACTAAATGTACAAGTAATGTTTTATGTTAAACAAACTTTGCTCTGTAAACTTGCATCTAAAGCACAACTAAAAAAAAAAAAAAAATTTCCCTCCCCTGCCCTCCCACCCCTGGTAACCAACAAAGTGAATTTCCTTCCCTGTATAAACCTTTCCTTTTTACAATAATGGACTCATAAAGTATTTGTCCTTCTGTGACTGACATATTTCACTCAGCATACTGTCCTCCAAATTAATCCACGTTATAAGGTGACTCATGGATTCTTCATTATTCTTTGATGTTGCATAGTATTCCATTGTGTGAATGTACCATAGTTTGGTTATCCATTCACCTGTTGATGGGCACTTAGGTTGTTTCCATCTCTTTGCTATAGTGAATTGTGCTGCAATGAACATGGGTGTGCACATGTCTATTTGTGTCCTGGATCTCACCTCTTTAAGATATGTTCCTAATGGAATTGCTGGATCAAATGGTATTTCTACTTTCAATTTTTAAGGAAACACCATACAGTTTCCACAATGGCTATACCATTTTACAGTCCCACCAGCAATGTATGACAGTTCTAGTTTCTCCACATCCTCACCAGCATTTGTTCTTTTCTGTCTTGTTGAACTTTGCTATTATCATTGCTGAGGTGGATGTATCTCATTGTTGGTTGGATTTGCATCTCTCTAATGGCTAATGATGGTGAGCATTTCCTCATGTGTTTGCTGGCTGCCTGTATATCCTTTTTAGTGAAGTGTCTCTGTTCATGTCCTTTGCCCATTTTTGAAATAGGTTGTCTTTTTGGTGTTGAGATGTTGAAGTTTTCTATAAATTTTGGAGATAAGTCTTTTAAAAGATATGTCATAGCCAAATATTTTTTCCCATCTGTAAGTTTTCTTTTTTAGCATTTTGGAGTTTTTCATTGCATATAACAATTTAATTTTTAAAAGGTCCCAGTCATCTAGTTTTTCTTCCACTGCTCGTGCATTTTGGGTTATGCTTGATAGTCTATATATGCCATAAATGAGGGCCCTTAGATTTGTCCCTATTTTATCTTTGATGAACTTCATGGTTTTGGGTTTTACATTTAAGTCTGTGATCCATCTTGAGTTTGTTTTTGTGTATGGTCACCCTTCAGGCCTGACTTGAACTCACTTCCATGGTTTTACTGTCAGCCAAATGATAAGTAGGCCAATGAGCTGAACACCTGTACTTACTTAGAACAATCTACCGTAGGAGATCAGAAGAGCAGCACTCACATAGGGAGAAAGGTAGGGAAGCAAGAATGCACAGGCAAGAGGGATGCAGTGAAAAGGTAACCACAGGGGAAAGTGGGAAGAGAGCTGTGACACTGCAGGGAATGTAACCGGTATCACAAAATGTGTATGAACTGTTGAAAGTGAAATGAATCTGCTTTGTAAA